TTGCTCGATGGGTTATCTCATTTCCTTCCAGGTGGAGGAAGACAGGACACAGGGCAGTGCTCTGTGGAGGCACTGTGGCCACAGAGCACAGAAGGCAGAGGCCATGCCAGGCTCCTCACCCCTGGTAGCATCTGTGTGGGGTCGGGGCAGTAGGGATCTGTGTAGGGTTTGGTTTGAACAAGTGGTTCTAGGGACTAAAAACCCAGTCAGGTTGAGGCCTGAAGCTCACCCCGGAAGTTGTGTGAGCACGGAAGCGAGGAAGGCAGGTTTTGCTCAGAAAGTTTGGAAAGGTTAGGCATGTAAGGCATGAATGGCAAGGAGGTGAAGGCAAAGGCTGGTGTAGCATAAACGTTTGAGGACATCTCTCCCTTGCAGGGTAGCCCCAGCTCCCCTGTCCCAGCCCTCACCAGGGCTTTCTCATCTAGTGCTGGGCTGATGTCCCGGAGCACAGTAGCAACCCCCCTCCTCATTCCCCTGCCTCCTGCGCTGGGAAAGTCGGAGAAGGCCTTCCTTCCAGGTCTGGATGGTTGGGGACAGTAGGTCTTTTCTGTGAAAAAAGAAACACCGTAGACTGGATGATTGACTGCCTGACCTACAGCCTTATTCCTGACTGGACCCCAAAGCTATAATTAAAGGTTTAGGTGGAAGGGATTACTCTAGAGGAGGGGCAGAGCCCCCCATGGCCTGAGGCTGACCCTGGGACCCAGCGCTGCTGGAGATAACATTCAGGAGACACTCCCGCCTCCAGCCTCCAGGGACTTGGCTCCTCACTAGAAACCAAGACACGTGGAGACAGTGGGAAGCAGGGTGGGGAGCCCAGAAATGAGTCCCACATTTAGAACAAGGGTGGTTTCCAGAGATGAACATAAGTGAAATTATGATCCTCATGCGATGTATTCAGATCATCAACCCACTGTTTGTAAACAAATGGACTGGGGCATGATCATACCTGCCGAGGACGGTGACTGCAGCTGAGTCTGGGGGCTGAGGGACTGATGTGGTCAGATGCTGCTGCTTCTCAGCTACTGGCCTGTGCCCACACAGATCAGGTCTTTACTGCTGTCCACAATTATCTAGGTCATTCTGACAGTAGAATGAAGCCCTGCAGCTTCCCGTCTCGTCTGACTGTGTACTCTTCCATCCAAGCCAGTGTGGGCATGACATGAAAACTACACCTGTCCTCCAGACCCCATCTGTCCAGCCCCTGCTCCCATCCCTCCTTCTTTCCACACCCCAATCCAACCTTCCAACACTGACTGAAAATCTGCCAGGCCCCAACGGTCCCGTGATGGGCCCAACAAAGTCCTTGTCCTTATTGGGCTTATATTCCAGCGACAAAACCAGACCACCAATAAGATATGTCTGAGGAGAGGTCATCTGAACAGCACATGAATAATCTGAAAACATGAGGCAAAGGCTGTCCAGGCAAAGGCACCAGTGTGGGGTGGGAGTGAGGTGTGGCTGGGACAAGGCAGGCAGTGGTCAGACCCTTTAGGTCTTGGAAGCTGTGGGAAGGAAGTGAGTGGAGGTTCTGGGGGAAGCTGAGCAGTGGCAGTGGCAGGCCCTGGTTGTTCCTGAAGGGCTGTCCTGGCCAGCATGTGGGGCAGTCTCAGAGGGCACATTCAAGGTTGTACTAGGGGAGGGTGGGGTGTGGCGATGTTGGTCACCTGGTGTGGAGCGTGAGCACCAGAGGGAAACAAGGGTGGTGCTCAGACATTTGGGCTGAGCAGCTGGGAAGGGACAGGGTGGAGGACTCACTGCAGAGTTTCAGGAACCCCACCGGAGGTGGGGATAAGGGTTAGCATCAGTATATCCTAAGTATCGTGATTGATAAGTAGCTGGGGTGTCAAGGCCAGATGAGGTGTGAAGGTGGGTGGAGAGACAGCAAAAGCCCTGGGGCTGTCAGGGGCTACACAAGATCCGGACAAGGTAGAAGGAAGAGCAGGGGCTCAGCACCTGGCCACCAAGAACAGAAGGGCTGGAGAGGCCGCTGGGGACTTGACCTTGGCACATGACCCCCAGGGGCTCAGGGCCACAGCACTACTGGAGGACAGGAAGCAGGGTTGAGCAGCAGGTCTTACCTGGTCACTTCCGTTCTCTCAGGGAATGGCAGCAGGGTCTCTAGTGAGTGTGTGCATGGGGGTGGGGGTTGTACAGAGAGAAGGTGTGAAACAGTCTCTCATTAGGAGACCAAATTTGCCAGTAGGTGTTTGCTGTGGGAAGAAACGAGTGACCCATTCTCTGGGGAAGAGAGGCAGGGAGGCTCTGAGCTCACACAGGGCTCGGTGGCAGATTACAGGCCCATTACCTCAGGGTTGGTGGGGAGCAAGGACCCAGGACATTTGGCCCTGGGAGGCTTTACCCGCATGTGGGCCAGGAGGCAGGGGCCAGAGTGTCGGCCCCCTGCACCACCTCCCCGCCCCCAAACTGACTCATACAAAGAATCTGATCTTCCCACCGTGTTCCTCTAAGGAGCAATGGTGATGGTCTAGTCTCAGAACAAAGGCTGTCAGTATTAGTGACACCACCACCACCACCAGCAGCAAGGCTGCTCTGACCCCCAGTGCCGTGCGCAGGTGAAGCGGCGCTCCATTTGTCAAGCTCAAGAAGGCTGGGCAGCTCTGCCAGGAACTCCTAAGTTAAGAGAATTTAAAAATAGCTCTACCCATGGTACTGCCAGCTGACATTCCAGATATTTAAGGTTTACTCTGAAATTGTCACTTCTCTGTTCCCGCATTCTCAGATCCTCTGACTTCCCTGGACCCGCTTCTTCAGTGAGCGCCTTCCTCACAGAGAAAATGAAGGCCCTCCCCAGTCAAGTCAGCCAAGCTGTGCAGTGCCCGAAGCCCTCGGGGGCCACAGCAGGGGTACAGCTGGCAGCTGCTGGTCTGCGCGCTGGCTCTCCCCACTTCTGCCAAGTACCATGATGGGAGGGGACAGCTGCAGCCCTCCCTGCCCCCCTCCCCCAGAGCTATAAAAAGCCCCAACACCCAAGTGAGCAGAGGACACGCTGAGCAGACGTGAAGAACTTTCCTGGACTCCAGGAGCTCGGCTCAACTGCCATGCTGAGGTTAGCCTCTGCCAGCAGGTTGCTGCTGGCCCCCCAGAGTGGCTGGGTGCTTCCCAAGGCACACGTCTCTGCCAAGCCAGCCAGAACACCCACTTCTCCCATGGTAAGAACCTCCAGGACAGCAGGGGGGCTGACCGGAACGGGGGGTGGGGGGTGGGGTGGGCAGTCCTGCGCTGTTGTGAAGAGGAGGTGGGTTTGGGGGCAGGACACAGAAAGCCAGGCTGGTAAAGGAGAGGGGGAATGGTCTCTCAGGGCTGGAGCTTCTAGAGGTGATCCTGGCACTAGGACTCAGTCCTATGGCCAGGACAGTGTCCTCACTCCAGGAAGGGTCCTTGTAGTCACCACCTGAAGGCCAGGCTCCCAAAGCAGCCAACAGAGTTAGTTACAGGAGAGTTTGTTCTGAGGCCCCTACTCACCTCCTGGCAAATGAGCGGTGCTAACCACTGAGCTTGAAGAGGACTCAGTGTCTACTCCAGCTTGACCACCGCTGAAGGGGGAGAGGGGGCTGCTTGGAGAGTCAGGGAGAGCACCGGGGGAAACATGCCTCCCAGTCACCCTCGGGCTGCAGGAGAGCAGACAACTGCCTCTGTTTTGAGCATCAATAAACCAAAGTCTAAAAGGTCATCTATCCAAGGTCAGGCCATGAGTGCAGCTAAGATCTGAACGCAGCCTAAGGGCCTGGCTCTGGGCCAGCGCTGCCGAGAATGTTGGGAGGTGAAGCCAAGAGGAAGAGTTGTTGTCCAGCCTGGCATCTGACTCTGTTTTAGGGAACAGGGAGGGATGACAGGGCCCAGGCTCTCTTTCAGGAGAAAACCGAGTAAAGGGGAAACACAGCCGGCTTTTCAGAGCCTGGCTCCAGGTGTGTGTGCACACACGAACAAACAGTGTGGGGGATCCCGCCTCCTTCATTCAGGCTTCTGAGCAGGACCACCATTTAGGGAAAATGGCCCTGCACTTGTTTGCACAACCTGAACCTCAGCTGTCTCTTCCATCCTGCACAGCACCTGATGTGCTCTTGTCTGAAGAGCATGTAAGGTCAGGAGTTCAAGGTCAAGGGACACATGGTTTGGCCAGGCAGGCTCTTGGTGGAGGGAAGGGGGCTAGGGTGAGAGGCCCAGGGCTGCTCGCCTGGTCTCCGCAGCAGCTGTCCAAAATGATGACTACAGTGGTCCCTGCTGGCGCCCTGAGGGCTTTTTCTACCTGACACACACGAAGTCTGGGGTTGGGCCAAAGGTCCCACCGGAGCAGAGGGGGCGGGACAGGATGTCTGTAATTCTGGACTTGCTGCTCTGGTTAGACGTTAGAACTCATCCTACACTGCACGACCTGGGCACAGAGGGGCAGGTAACAGCCTCCCTCCATGACCTAGGAACGACCTTGGTAACAGCCCAATGCACTCACACGTGCTTTCCTCACCCAGGAGCAAGCCATTGGGCTCTCAGTGATGTTCCTCAGCTTCCTGATTCCTGCGGGCTGGGTCCTGCACCACCTGGAGAGCTACAAGAGAAGCTCGGCAGTATGAAGGCTCTGGGGCTCCAGCTCCAGGCACAGGATGAAAGATCACATTAAACCCCTCCCTTCACCTAGTGGTCACTGGTGATTCTTCTCTGTGTACGAGCAGCCCCCTTGCTGGACACTCAGCATGGGACTGAGGGCTGGCTGGGCGGTCGTGGGGTGGACACCGTATCTGAGCCACAGTAGACAGGAGTTGCTCTCTTGGCCACAGGGCCCGCAGCCTTCTGTGCCTGGCTCTGCCCTGTGCCCTGTATGTGCAGAGATGCCCCTTGCTCAGGGCGGGAGAGGATGGCCGAGGCCCACTGCCCCCCGCCCCCTCCCCCCCAAGCCCTATGGCCCATCTCCTGCTTTTTAATCTCTCCAGGCCCAGGCCTGACATCAAAGCTAAGACTAAGGAAAAGAGAACTACGAAAAGGACAAAACAAGTGCGTTTATTACAGGAACATTCTCAAATGACACCGGAGATATTCACACAGGTGAAGGGGATGGAGACGAGCTTCCGAGTGGTGTCCCCACACGGGCGATGCCTTCTCACTCCTTGGGGCATGTGCACACTCTCACCTGCCTCGTCACCACCAGATACCTGTGACCCCCTCCCCACTGTAGGCCACAGGAGACATCCACAAAGCAGACTTCTCTCTGTGGCCGGGCACCCCATCAGTGACAGTCCTGTTTTCACAGCAGGAAGAACAGTTCCCACTTCGCAAACACAATCCCACCCCCACCCCCAGTTAAATAAAGACGGCCTCAGCTGCCACAGACGGGGAGGGTGGGGGCGCTAGGTGAGGATGTCGTGGGCCTGGTGCTCCACCAGCATCTCCATGCTCCTCACGTCAGTGCACCAAAACTCCAGGCGATCCTTCATGCCTGCAATCTGAGGCAAACCAGGACCACACAGGTGTTAGGACACTTGGGAATCACAGCACCTAATGGGGCAGCTGTACATTTCCAGCCAATTCTTTAGGGCAGCACTAATAAAAAGAACATCAGAGCTGGGGGAGCAGGCTACATGAGACAGGATTATCCCAGGCAATTCTTATCACAAGGACATTAAAAAAAACTTGCATGAAAGAAAACAGGCAAGAATAGAGGAAATCCACAGGATTAAATTGAAAGCAAATATGAACAAGATGGATCTGAGCTCAAATCACAGAACTAGGATGTATTTGATCAGAGCACCAATTTGAAGATTAAAAGGCATCATCAGCACAACCAACACTGTTATTATGATAAGCTTTTAAATGCAGGGTTCAAACCCCAGACTTGCATTAAATTAGGTTCTTTGAAAAAACGCTTAGTCCCTACAGCAGTAAGATATTCTCTCAAATCTCTTAGTCAATACTGCTTTCTTTCTAAATGGCTTCCAGCCAAGAGAAACTAAGACAGCAGACACAATCCAAAACACCCACAAAGCTGAACCATGTATTCCAATCACGCTACCTGTTGCAAATCCAACACGCGAGGCTGCACCCAGGTCATGTGAACACGCTTATCCACTTCATCAATACTGCCTTTCACCAGCCCCACTGAGAGAGCCTTCATCACCAGCAATTCCACCTGTGCAGAGAGGGCTTGTGTAAGACATCCCAAGGCCTGCATGCACACACCAGCTGGCCCTGATATATGTGGGAACAAGACACTGTTTCTTCTGCGGTCTGGAGTCTAGGGAACTGTGCTCACAGGAGGCCTGGCCCGTCCAGGGAGCAGCTCTACCACTGGACCATCCTGAGCCCAAGAGCTGTACCTCGTTCACGGTGATTTTAGCACTTTTGGCAATTTCTTCAAAAGTGAGTTGTCTGTGATTGGCAGGTCGTGTGAAAGTCATCTGAAAAAATATTTTGTTTGTTAACTATTTTTCCAAATAAAAACTGTCAGAGAACTGATGGGAATGTTTTTGTCAATACTTGCTGTGAAAACATAGATCTTATTAGTGTCCCCCACACTAAATTTTTCCTTTAGATTAGTTGCGTATCTTACTAAGAACACGCTTTCCTCGCTTAGCTAAGGTGAAATACGATTCACGTCAGGTGTTCATACGTGGTGTCCCTGGGTGCCTGCTTACCTCCATGAGGCACAATAGCTGAATTTTCCTCAGAAGCTGGGCTTCGTTGGCTGCCAAATCAGGCTGTAAAGTAGAAAGCATCAGTTACCCAACCTAGGCTTTGAAATTTGTTCTATAACGGAGCGAACAAAAAGAACCCTGGCAGGTCCAAACACCTTACACTGAAGGTCACGGAGGCCCACTTTTCTTAGGAAACCATCAGAAGGTGCACCTCGGAAACTGCATGCTCCCACGCAAGGCATTTACGAGGTGAGATTCATGCTAATGCCACAGACACCAGGGGGCAGGGTCCAGGTGACTCTTGGCACAAAGAAAGGCAGGGAAGGACCCATCCTGTGTCTGAGCAGGTCCAAGTGCACTGCCTGCTCCATCAGCTCAGTGTAAGCGGAGCCTTTCAGGAACACATTCCTTAAGCTCCAGGGGTCTGTTCTGACTGAAAGAGCAAGTTACTAATTTATAATGAAAGCCAGCCTTATCATGAGAACCAGACATGCCCTCTGCACAACCTGCAGTCACCCTACAGGTAGGTCACAGGTCACTGTTGAGCACAGAGACAAAAAGGAGAAGGGGTTACCTGATTCAATTAGGAACTCATACCCCAACACAGGCAGAACCAGCAGGGAAATTTCTGCCATAGGTACTGGACAGGTCAGGCTCTTCAAAAAGAGCCCATTCCCCCTAAATGGGCTCTTGTTGTCTAGACAGATACCACTGGCACACAGCTTTAGTTTTGTTTTCTTGGGGCACCTAGGTGGCTCAGTTGGTTAAGCGTCCGACTTCGGCTCAGGCCATGATCTCATGGTTCATGAGAACAAGCCCCACGTCGGGCTCTGTGCTGACAGCTCAGAGCCTGGAGCTGCTTCAGATTCTGTGTCTCCCTCTCTCTCTGCCCCTCCCCTGCTCACTGTCTCTCTCTCTCTCAAAAATAAACAAACATTAAGGGTTTTTTTTCCCTTTTCTTAAATTCCTATGGCTCGCCATCATCTTTCTTTCCAAGTGGCACATTCAGAGATCAAAATACAGCCTACAGTTAGAACTGACTGGACTTGCTTTCTGCCTCTTCTGCCTTTTCTGCCTCTACACAGTCTGTATCTACTCAGCTCTGTTATGTGTGAATTCTACAAGTTATTTTGAACTTTGAGAAAACTGAAATTTTAGAAAAGTGCAAAACAATAATATAACCATTATCACTATGAACATTTTAGTAACGTTTACTTCTAATAGCTTCATGTAAAACAGAATAAACTTACTATTAAAGCTGAGGTCCTTGTTAAACACCTCTTCTCCCTAATTCACATCTCCCAGAGGCTCCTCTCCTTGCCCAGTGCCTTCTCCCCTGCTACCTCTTTCCCTCTGCATTGACCACCCCCCACCCCCTGCACTGACCCCTTCCTCCCAATGACTACTTCCACCCTACATAGACTGTCCTGCCTTCCCTCGCCCTAGGCTCTCCCCGACTCTCATCATTCACTTACTTGAGCCTCACATACCCTACTGCAGTTCAGCAACATGCTAAAGCTTCCTTTTCCTCTGCTGAATATACTCTTCTCATATTCTTCACTTGGCTAAATTCTACTCACACCTAAGGTCAGATACAGAGCATTACTTCTTTTGGGCAGTCCTCTGTGACACCCCTGTCACCCAGATGACACTTCTCTATTATGTTCTGTTAGTAGCACTGAGCACTATCATAGTAGCTGAGTTACTACTCTAAGTAGCCACTTATCCACCTGCTCTATGAGAGCAAGACTGGCTTGTCTTAATCTCCTGTCTCCCCAGTGCCTGGCATGTAGAAGGAAGGTGCAAAGTAAACATCTGTTAAACATACAGACAAAAGGAAGGAGAGCCAGGAGCATTTAGGGTGCTCAGCCATCCTTCCCATAGCTGACCTGCTGGCCCCAGGAGGTCTTCAGAGTTTGGAATCTCTCTACGTTGCCACTGTTAAAGGCATAAAGGGTGTCAATCAGCCACTGTCGGTCGGTGTTCCTCAGTGATTCTAGCACGGGGTGCATGAGCTGTGAAGATGAGACAGTTAGCTGGCAAAAAAAAAAAAAAAAAAAAAAAAAAAAAAGAAATCAGTCTTCCCCTTATGAAGAAGCCTGTGCCCGGGGTCTACTTACAAGTTCTCCAAAGTTAAAAACTCCTTCGCCAAGAAGTCCTGCCAGTCCCAGCGTGAAAGCTCTCTCCTGCTGCTCAGACACTACGGCAACAACACATCTCCAGTGATACCCAGTTATGAGAATCAGTCCTGCTTGCCTTTAAAATTCTCACAAAAAAGTAAAGAAACCATTCCCTGTAATGGTTACATCACAAAGCCTTAACGTTAGCCATCTCTTAAAGTACTGCATTAACTCAAATTATACCTGGAACCACATATACAGGTTTTGTGGGAAAGACATTCTTTCATTTACTTATTTCTACCTAAATATGTAAATCTATTTATATTTTAAGCTAATCTACTTCCTGGAGTAGCAGATTCCTTATACCTCTTGCTTCCTATGGGAAGTGATACCTCTTATTTATCTTAAAACCCCCTCATTTAACCTCTTTTCAGACTAGAATTAACCTACTTCCTTTCCCATACAACAATTCCCTATTCTCTTGACCACATCAGTTGCTTTTTCCAATATATTTTTCTTGAGATGCAGGGAGCATCTAAAACTGCACTAAACATTTTTAGGAGTTGCTGGTCTCCATAGCTTCAATGGTGTACTGTGAGAAAATTCTAAAAGAGGCTCAAATTTCTTCTTTAAACACATATTGCTTGCATTTTCCCCAAAACTCATTTTTCATTTTTTTTGGCAAGTGATTTTTGTAAGTAAGTTCTTCCCCTGGGTCTTGTTCAGTTTTCGGAACACAACTCTCAGGTACAGGGTTGCGGCGCACCCTTCGTGCTGCAGGGGTCAAGGGACCTACGTTGCTGTACTTCTCACAGGCCTCTGGTTCAGAGAGCAGGGAAGACTAGAGAAGGGATGCTGAAGGGCTATAGGGTGGAGACTCATTTTCATCTCAACTCAATGCTGAAGGCAGACACATGTAGAAACTAATGCTGGCACGGCTCTTTCCACCTTGTCACCATGAGGGCTCTCGTCAACAAGGGATGGATACTCCGGAAGAATTTCTGAGGCCTGCTACCATGCCCCAAGAGTGAGCTCCTACGACACGGACTTTAACGGCCTCATGTTACCTGGCAGATCCTTGATGTCGACACAGCCTAGAAACCGCAGAGCATCTTTGTAGTAGGATGCGTGGTTTCCGATCGTTTGATAGTATTTACTAGAGAGATCATAGAAACGACTGTGAACTGACGTCACACCAGGGAGGTTGTTGAGCATCTCTTCAACGTCTTCAATTGTCTCCTACATGCAGGAAACAAGATCACCTTTTTAACTTCAAACATTTTTAAAGAAATGTATCACAAGATAGATCGACAGATTTGAGTATATTAAAATGGAAAATTTCAGTTCACCTAAAACACAGATAAAAGAACAAAGACAAGCTATAGACTGGGAAGATATTTACTGCACACAAAACCCACAAGGGTATATGACCAAAGCTATATAAAGAACTCTTACAAAACAACAGATGGCTAGCAAGACAGAAAAAATGAGCAAAAGAAAAGATATTAATGGCAATTTACAGAAGTGGAGACACAAATGGAGTGGTCAATAAACTACCAGCAATCAAGAGATGCAAATTAAACCCTCAGTGAGGTGGCATTTCACCTCCATCAGACTGCCAAGAATTAAGTGATCTGAAAATACCAAGTGTTGAAGACACGGAGCTTTGGAAGTGCTTATATGGTGCTAGGGGAGTGCAAGCCATCTTGGAGAACGGTTTGGCAACATCAAGTAAAGGTGGACAGTGTACACCTTACACCTATAGCTTCACCTCCAGGCATATGCCCCTGTGAGATTCTGCCCATGTATGCAAGGAACTAGGCATAAAAATGCTGATAACTGGGGTGCCTGGGTGGCTTAGTCAGTTAAGCTTCCGACTTCAGCTCAGGTAATGATCTTGCAGTTTGTGAGTTTGGGCCTCGCATTGGGCTCTGTGCTGACAGCTCAGAGCCTGGAGCCTGCTTCGGATTCTGTGTCTCCCTCTCTCTCTCTACTCCTTCTCTGTTCATGTTCTCTCTCTCTCTCAAAAAGAAACATTAAAAAAAATTTTTTTTTAAATGATGATAATATCACTGTTCATAGTAGAAAAGAGAACCCTGAATCCTTTCAATAGGCGACTGGATACACAGGCTGTGAAACAGTTATACAGTGAAATACCAAACAGTAAAAACAAATTGGTCACAGGTACCAACATGATGACTCAAACTTCACACTGAGCCACTAACTTAAAACAATACTACATGTCACTTAGATTTACACATCCCCATCTAGTGAGCATCAGGAAACACACGAACACGAGGAACACCAAACATGTGCATGGGAGCACTGTGGGTGCAAGAACCTGCTCTGAGGGCCCAGCAGCTCCATTCCTAGGCTGCTTCATTCCTAGGCTGGGTGGGCACGTGGATGCCCATGACAGCATTCTTTACCAGTACTTTATGGATTTCAACATGTCTTAAATATTTCAAAGCAAAATGCATAAGTATGCATGCAGGCTAGGACTGGGCAGGAACAAGAAACAATAAGTAGTGGTATTTTAGGGCAATGAGAACATGAACACTTACCCCAATATTTTCTTTAATATTATGGTTACCAAAAAACCCCTAACCCAAACCAAAATAAGCACATGTAGCCTGTGGTTCAACAAAGATGACTGACCACGTAAGCTGGTCTTACTGCCACTCATATCCACATGTGTTCCTCAAATCATACTAAAATGAAAATAAGAAATAGATGGGAAGCTTAACAATGATTAGGAGGCAGAGAGGGTGGAGGAGCAGCACATGACCTGTCGTGGTAAGTGGGCCGACCCTGCTCAGTGAGAACCTGTGTAAGTTCTCAGGCTGTGGACAGTCTGAGGCCGTCTGGACTCACCCTGATGGCGGTGCTCACCCAGAACAGTGCTCTTTCAAAGGGGAACAGGCCTTGTATCAGCAACTTACTCTCAATAGTTTTGAGAAACAAAAACTACACACACAAACATACAGAGTAACAGGGCAAAGAAGTGAAATGTCTACAATGGGAGTGTGAGGGAGGGTACAGGAAAGGTCCTTGTGCTATTCTTGCAACTTTTCTAGAATTTAAAATTCCTTTAAAAGTTAAAATGGAAAAACAGGATTTTTCTCCTATAACTCTAAACAACTTTTTATTTATTTATTTAAAATGTTTATTCATTTTTGAGAGAATGTGAGCAGGGAAGGGACAGAAAGGGAGTGAGACAGAGGATCCGAAGCAGGCTCCGTGCAGTCAGTAGATAGACCGATGCAGGGCTTGAACTCACAAACCGTGGAACCTGAACTGAAGTTGGATGCTCAACCAACTGAGCCACCCAGGTGCTCTTTTAAACAACTTTCTAAACCAAAGAGAAATCTGTATTATGGCAACCTTACCTTTGTAACCTGTAGGTCCCCGATGTTTAATTTTAGAGCTCCAATTGCAGTTTTACACAGGATCACTGCCTCATCACTACTTTTCACCTAAAGATGTCAGAAACAAAAGAACCTGAGAAGTGTGGGCAGGAGACCAACAAAGCAAGGCATCTGCGCACTGGATTAACTTAAAGGATTAGAGACACACTGGTCTCTAAAAGGTGTGCACAGTGAGCCCAGACACAAGCTGTAAGTCACACGTACTCTCAAAGTCTTGGCTCCGACTTCACATTTACCTTTTCACGAGTCTTTTCCAGAAAAGTAAGAGCCACGTTAGGATCTAGAAAAGGCAGAACAATGTAAGAAAACCACCAACACAATATCTTTAGAGACTAGTTCCCACCAATGAGGACATTTAGGTAGGATAATCTTTAGGTTTAGACCATAAATATAATAAAAACATAACTTAGAATCTGGTATTTTCTATCAAAATGTAAAAGTTCAATTAACTTTTATTTCAAAATCATTTAATTACCGTTTGTATCTGCTCCTTTATGAAACAAAGTAAGACTCACCAGTCATCTGTCTAACTACATGAAGAATGATTTCTACCAGGGACAAAGGATTCACCCTGAAATAAAAACCACAGGTCTCTGAGTGTCAGTAGTATCAATGTTTTCATGTTCAAAGTCAAAAACTGACAAAAGTCCTTTACCTGTGTTCAAATTCACTGATGAAGTTTTCATAAAGCTGTGGAAGCAAAATAAGTAGAGTAATTACAGGATGTCTTTAATTTTGTAAAGTCATACACAACCACAATGCCCACCATATAACAGGCACTGCAGTAATGTTTGCAAGATGATAGAAGACCCATATTTGGGCTTATTAATCATGAATGGATTACTGAAGAAAGCTATGCTTTTTTTGGAATTAGATTCCTGACCTATAAGGATCTCCTAAAGACCAATTCCTATATTCTTTCTCCAAAGTACTCTAAGTGAAACAGACTATCCATTTAAAAGACGCACTAACTTTCAGATTTTAGAGGATTGTGGCCTATATTAGCAAATGTATAAGCCATTCAGCAAACACTTGGTCACTTACTCAGACTCTTTGCTAGGTACTACAGATACAGAATGTATAAAACAAAAGCCTGGCATTCAAGGATTTCTGGCCTAGTAGAGGAGACTTGTAAACAAAGAAATGACAATATTGTGAGTTTACAAGCAAGGAAAAAAAGAAAGCACATAGGTGGATCATCCAAAAGGAGAGGTTCCAAAGGTTATTCCAGAAATGGTTATAACTGAGTTTTAGGGAAGGACGAGCAGTTAGAGAGGTGAACAGATTTGGTATGGGGAAGGAGGCAGTTGGGAGAACACTCCAGACAGGAACAAACATATCTAAGAGCACTGAAGAAAACACTGCATATGTTTTAGCAGCACTCTGATGAACACAGAGGACAGAAGGCACTGGGACTTATCCTTGCCCTGAGGTCAAACCTGAACCAGTGGAAACACATGATCACACTTCTACTTTATAACACGACTAGAGGAAGGGGGGGTAAGGGAGGGAACAGAGTAAGGGGGCAACAGCAGTGAGGATGGACAAAGGGTCTGAGAGATTTGCTGGTCAAAGGGAAGGGGAGCTACAATGACCTCTGAGCTTATGGTTGGGTAAGTGGCCAAAGGGAATGCCCCATGTGGGCAAAGTGGAAAGAGAGAGCCTCAAGATAGGGCCAACTTGAATACAGAGAGTCTGCAGTTCCTCTGGGATATGAAGACAGAAAGATGGAAAAGTCCTGTGAAAAAAAGGTGGTGTATATGCTCACACACTGTGGAATATTATTCAGCCTTAAAAAGAAGGAAAGCCTTCCATTTGTGACAACATGAATGAAACTGGAGGGCATTTTGCTAAGTGAAATAAATTAGACAAAGACACATACTGTATGACCCACTTCTAAGTGGAATATAAAAAAACTGAACTCATAGATACAGAGAACAGATTTGTGGTTGCCAGAGGCAGAGGGTAGGGGGTGCAAGAAATGGGTGAAGGTAGTCAGAAGGTATAAACTTCCAGTTATAAGTCCTGGGGATATAACTTACAGCACTGTAACTATAGTTAACAATACTGTGTTGTACATTTGAAAGTTATTAAGAAAGCAGATCATAACAGTTGTCATCACATGGGGCGCCTGGGGGGCTCAGCTGGTTGAGTGTCCAACTCCTGATTTTGACTCAGGTCTTGATCTCATGGTTTGTGGCATGGAGTCCCGGGTCAGACTCTGTGCTGACAGCGTGGAGCCTGCTTGGGATTCTCTCTCCCTCTCTCTGACCCTTCCTCACTTGTGCTCTTTCACTCTCAAAATAAATAAACTTAAAAAAATGTCATCACAAGGGGCGCCTGGGTGGCTCAGTCGGTTAAGTGTCCGACTTCGGCTCAGGTCATGATCTCACGGTTCGTGGGTTCGAGCCCCGCGTTGGGCTCTGTGCTGACAACTAGCTCAGAGCCTGGAGCCTGTTTCAGATTCTGTATCTCCCTCTCTCTCTGACCCTCCCTTGTTCATGCGGTCTATCTCTCTCTCAGAAATAAAACATTAAAAAAAAAATGTCATCACAAGAAGAAAAAAAGTGTGTGAGATGGATGTTAAGTAGACTTATTGTGGTTATTCTGCATATACACATATACCAAATCATTACAATGTATACCTTAAACTAATACAGCGCAATATGCCAATTAGTTCTCAATAAAACCTGAGGGGTGTGTGTGTGTGTGTGGGCGGGGGGGGGGGGATGTCCCTGAAGCAGCCAGTTAATTATTTAAATCTGGCACCCAGCAAAGAGCTATCTAAGTAAAACGGTTTCATTACAAAGGACTATTTCAAAGATATCTTCTCCATTAAGAGAGTATTTTCAACTTTTCTGATACCCATAATTTGTGGAATTACCTAACCAAAAACCCCTCCAAAGAAAAAAGAAACTTAAATTACTACTGGTGACTGCAAATTTATGAATACGATCTCTCTGAAAGTTATGTGGCTGGGTCCCAACAATTTTTAAAGGTTTACCTGTCCACTGAAATAGTATACTCAAATCTGCCAATGTGAGTGTTCCATTAACATGGGGTTGAGGAAATATTTTGCTATGGGTAGAAAGTAATTTAAAGATAAAGCAAACGATGGAGATGAAAAATCATGAATATCCATTGCTATGATATAGAACCTTAGGGAACAAATATTAAGAAAGTCTAATCACTTTTTCCACATAGTCCTGAAGACAGAATGCTCAGCAAATCTTTAGGTTCACAGATGAACAGAAGTTCCTTTGGGTAGTAAAATGTCCAACTGGAGGATATAAAACACAAGAAAATCTTTAGATCCCAGGTGGTGGAGTAATAAGGTGGTAAGCTTCACTGGAAACACATATAAAGTAATGTATTCCAGGGCAAATAACTCAAGTTATCATGAACTAGCTTTTGGTTCCAATACAGGCATAAATCTCTCATTCTTTCAAAATCCAAGAGAAAGGCATCGAAGAGAAAGATGTCAGCAAACCATTTCAAAGAGGAAGAAACTACCAATGAACAATTGGTGGGGATTTATCAGGGATTGTGGAGAAGGCTGGGGTAAGAATATTTTTTTTTTTCTTTTTCTGTTGACAAATTCTAAAAGTGCTCCACTACAGAGGATTCCCCCCCCCCAAACCTCTCCACCTCTGAGCGAAGCACAAAAGAGCCCCTATCTTCCACACTACCCAAGAGAAAGCATTGAGGCAAGCAAGCAGAATCAGTGGGAGTGGAGGAAGAGGTGTGATCACCATTATCTGTAAGATTCCTATGGTTACCCTCCACTACACCTTACCCCACCCCCAAATGATTTTGAACTTTCAATTTCTGAGTAAGTTTCCAAAAGTACAATAAGATACAGGGCATACTATGCTCTAAGACAGCATTTTAAGCAGGGATTTTAAAAGAAGGCAGACTATGTTTGAATCCTCCTCTACCACTTGTTAGCTGTGATCTATGGCAAATTACTCAATCCCTTGGCGTTAGCTTCTACATCAAGTAAGTAGGATTACCTCCCTAGTTGTTATAAGGAGTAAATATACAAAATCCTTACAGGACTACCAGACATAAGTAACTGCTGAATAGTTATAATGTATTATTAATATAAAACCCACCTTTTATTTTTAAAAGTCCTTGAGCAAGTGTATATAATCTGACCTTGCACGGCAAATCATTTACCTTAATGAGGCCATCTCCTTGGGCAAAGCATGGGTCCTGCACAAAATCAAGCACCTGAAGTGTCAGTTGATGCCACAACCTGAAAAACATAAGGCTCTTAAGACCTATGAACTAAGACCCTGTCACAGACACCTTCAGCCTTGATGGTCCTATCACATAACAGATATTAGCCAGTTTCTACTGTGAAACAGAAAGAAAGCTAATGCAGATGCTAATAAACCGAGTTCTTTTCTTGGCTCTGCTATTCAATGGTGATGTCATTCTGGAGAACATCTTTTCAGATTACCTCAAAGAGTTACTGTGAGGTTTGACTGAACACAAGTATTTGGAATCACATGTACATAAGCTGAAATCCTGGCTCTTCTACTTAATAGCTGAGTATCTCAGGGAAGAAGCTTAAAGTGAACTTGTTTCCTCCCCTGTAAATGGGATGAATGAAGGATTAAATGGGCAAATGAAGGGTGCCTGGGTGGCTCAGTTGAATAAGCATCTGACTCTGGATTTCGGCTCAGGTTGTAAGTTCAAGCCCTGCATTGGGCTCTGTGCTGTCAGCTTGGGACAGCACAGAGCCTGCTTGGGATTCTCTCTCTTTCCTTCTCCCTCTGTTCCTCCCCTGCTTGTGTTCTTTTTCTTTCTCTTTCAAAATAAATAAACTTTAAAAAACTTCTTAAAATGGTCAAATCAATAAAGCCTCTGGAAAAATGACAGTACATTCGAAACCAAAGTCTAATTTTTAAGAATGCAAAAAAGAAAAAAGGAATTAAAAGCTTTGAAAAATACAAAGTGCAATTATTTCCCAACACTAAGAATTTTCTCTCAAAAAATGCTAACAGCAGAAGACCACTGAACATCATCCAAACATGAATTCATTTTCTATGTAAATAGCATTATGCTCAACTCTAGGATTCATAACAGGGAAGCTATTACAGGAGGTGTGTTCTCTTGTGGAACAATGCTAGCAACTTATTCTGGTCATTTAAAAAGAGATTAGTGCTAAGCAACAGACAATTTGTTATAAAATTCATCTTGTTTCTAAACAAACCCAAACTCTGAGATCTCCTTAGGGGCACAAAGCCCAAGATGAAGTGCATTGGTAGGTAGGAACCCGGGAGTGGGGAGAAATGGCTGAAACGCAGAGTGTAAGCAGCTGCAGAATCAAAAGGGGGAAAAAACTCAAAACTGCACTCGGCTCTGGTTTCTCCGCTGCAGACCGCTGAGAGACGGCGCAGACGCGGTCACACGATACCACGGCAAAGTGCAAGACACCAGGATCTGTTATTCGAAATGGACGGCAGCCTGACCCTGCAAAGGTGTTTGTTTGCCTGGCATCAAGAGTGGAAATCCTTTAAAGCCCTGAACCTTTTTAAAAGAGCAAGGGAAGGGGAGTTCAGAAACCTCAGTCACAGTCCCTGAGTCAGGAAGGCAGGGAACCTTAGGCCCCAACACCTTGCCTATGGCTTTTTCCCTCAGTCCTCGGGGGCTGTCACCCCGACTTCCTCCTCAGCCTTGCCGCTCCGGGCTACTCAGCGCACCTCCCCGGCCTAGACTGCTCCCACTCTCCCGACAAGGATCCGGGCACAAGTCGGTCCATCAAGGTCCCGCACCTCCCCCCGTAGCCCCTTCGCTCTCCCATCACTGGGGCCCCCGACTCCTCAGCTGGGCGCTCACTTCTTCGTGTAGAGCTCCTCCAGACGGTGCCACACGGCGGCCTGGCCGGGCCCGGAGCTCTGGCTCTGCTGTAAAAAGCCAGGTACGTCCTTCATGACGGCGGGAAGACCCTGGGACAGCAGCACTAGGAAAGCGTCAGCGCCGCGGGGATGACCACCGGAAATGCTCACTCACTTCCGGCGCCGCGTCGCGCGAGGCAGGCCGGGAGCGTCCCCGTGGCCTGCGGCGCCTGCTGGTTGTCAGGGTAACCGCACCCTTGCTTTGGAGGAAATTCTCTGCTGGGTTTGTACCCGATTTCCCGCGTAGCTGGGTGTGCCATTGAGGCGCTGAGCCGTACGAGGGCCTGGTGGCGCTGTGATGGAGGGCCATCGACAGGCTTTGTGGCCTCGGCCTTTGTGACCAGCAGTTTCTCGTCTCAAACAGGGACCATAAATAATAATAGTAGCTTCCTGGACTAAGTGTAAACGTAACGCCTGGCGGTAGTAAGTGCTCACCAGGTGTTACCATCACCCTCCCGACTGAAAACGGCGGGACAGCAGGTTAGAGAAATGCAGGCTCCTGGTTTGGTGTCCTGGGAGACAGGCGGGAGCTCAACAGGCTAGGAAGCCGCCCCCACCTGGCGTCCACCCCAGCCTGGGCTCGCGGGGAGGGGCGGGCGGCGGCGGCGGACACGTGACCCTCGGGGACAAGGTCGCGAGCGGGCGGCGGAGGAGCTGGGAAATGGCGAGGTGGGCTCGGCCCGCTCTTTGCGCCCTCAGGCTCTGGGGCCCGGCAGGTGAGTGGGCCTGGGTGGGTTGGAGCGGGCCGGCAGCCGCGGGGGCGGGGCCCAGGGTGGGGACGAGCACCTCAGCGCGGGCTAGTGGCTGCGGTTTATTGCCCCCCACCCTCACCCCCCGAGCGTGGGTATCGGGCTTTCCTTGGTTTCCTTGATTTCCTTTCCTTGATCGGGACACTGCAGAACCTGAAATGTCAAGTTCCTGTTCACGCAGCTCAGAGGATATTCCAGAGGCCGCCATCGCATGTTTCTTGTTTCTTCACATGGGAAGTTTTAAACAAAAATTTAATGTTCATTTATTTTTGAGAGAGAGAGACAACAGTGCGAGTAGGGGAGGGGGAGGGAGGGGGAGGGAGGGAGGGAGAGAGAGAGAGAGAGAGAGAGAGAGAGAAAATCCGAAGCAGGCGCCAGGCTCCCAGCTGTCAGCACAGAGCCCGATGCTGGGCTCAAACTCCCCAATGGCAAGACCATGACCTGAGCCGAAGTCAGATCCTTGACCAACGGAGCCACCAAGGCGCCCCTTCTTATGGGTATTTTTGTTGTGTACAAGCAACACTTGTATGGTCATTATTGACACTTTGTACCTTGCCTTTTATACTTAACAATATGTCTTGGGAGTTACTTTTCTTCTCAAAGCATAAACCTTTCTCAGTCTTTTATACTGATCTGTAGAATTCCTTTTTTACTTGTTTGTTTTTTGTATGACTTTATTGGAACCACCAGATCTTCCCCAATGAAGAGCTCCCCAGACCCTGTCACACCTTACAAGAAAGGGCTTAGAGTCAAGAAGGAGGGACCTGTTGCTGCTGTCCCCACAGAGGGAGGTCAAGATCGAGCCTCCACTTCTTGGTGACCATTCAGATTCCTCCCGTGGCCTGTCCTTCCTGGGGAACTGAGGATGCACCCCCTGCCCTAGGTTGGGGGTGGGATCTGTAGAATTCCATTCTATTGATGTTTCATAATGTATTTAAGAATTTTCTTATTGAAATCGTTTGTAGTATTTAGTTATTATGAATAATACTGAGGTTCATTGTTTGTACTCACTTTTTGGGTAAACTCCTAGTAGTGGAAATCCTGGGTTTAAAGATATGTACATTTTTATTGTTCCCTATAAAAGTTGTGCAATTAATGCTTCTTTTATTAAGTTCATATAAACTATAAACCTGCATACCCTTCTATTCAGTAATTGTACATTTTGGGATCTTTGTTGTTAACCTTAAAAATAAAACTTAGTTATTGCCAAGAGAATGGGTTTATTCAGGAATAGCAGAGACCTTCAAATGAAGACTCAAAAGCTATGGCAAAACCATAGGCAAGTCCCAGGAACAGAGGAGAGAAATGATGTTTTCGAGAAGAAGGGGGATAGGGCTTGGGATGGCTGTTACAACAAAAAAGTCCATTGGAATAAAGTGGGAACTGGAGTGGAGTGCTTCTCTGTGGCTGGGCTCTTACAATCTCTCATTGGCTAGGCTGTGATGGTCTCTCATTGGCTGGTCTGTGATGGTCCCTCATTGGCTGGGCTCTGATGGTGTCTCATTGGCTGGTTTGTTGGGGGAGAGGGAGGGGAGAAAACCCCCCTTCCTCCCCCGAGGCTGTGAAGCCCAGGCTTTTTCTGTTTGGGACTGCAAAGGGCTGTGGGGAGTGAGGAGTGTGAGTGAGAGCTGCTCCTGTTGGCCTCCACTGCGTGGTAGTCAGGTTTCGTTTGTATCGTTTCACATTGCCTAGAAACTGAACATACGTGTGGAAATGTCTTAAGGCCCGTAGTTGTTAAGAAACTAGCTTAAATGGCCAATAATGCATTAATACTTAAGTAGTGGTACATCTACTTGATGCCACTTTACATAGCCACTAAGTGTTGGTGAAGAGTTTAATAGATACCCAGGGGTCTTTTGTTTAAAAAAGAAAACTTCATTGTACTGCCAGGTGTCCCAGCAAATTAACTCAATTCTGACTACCTGCCTGAAGAAAGCACCTTAGGTGAAAGACTCAGTCCCACAAGCCAGCCCCCAGTTCAGACACCAATCCAGGTGGTTTCCTGTGCTTCTGCCTAACCAGCTATTAATTGGTTTCCATGACCCCCTCCTCTGGTTCCATTAGTTTGCTAGGGCATCTCACAGAACTTGGAAGACCTGTTGACTTACTAGATTGCAGGTTTATTACAAAGGATATTAAAGAATATGGATGAACGGGGGCGCCTGGGTGGCTTAGTCGGTTGGGCGTCCGACTTTCGCTTAGGTCATGATCTCCAGTTCGTGGGTTCGAGCCCCGCGTCGGGCTCTGTGCTGACTGCCGGCTCGGAGCCTGGAGCCTGTTTCGGTCTGTGACGCCCTCTGTCTCTGACCCTCCCCTGCTCATGCTCTCTCTCTTTCCTAGAAATAAATAAAAAATTAAAAAAAAAAAAAAAGAATATGGATGAACGGCCAGATGTAGAGTTACATAGGGTGAGATGTGCAAGGGTCCTTGGTCCCTTCTACATGTGATTCACCAAGCTGGAAGCCCTCAGAACCCCCTCCTTTTGAGTTTTTATGGAGGCTCCAACCCTCTAATCGTAGTTTGTTCCCCCTGGCACCCAGCTCTCACTCATCCTTAGGGCTTTTCCAAAAGTCTCCTCATGGACATAAACCCAGTTGTGATGTAAAGGGACTCGTTATGAAGAACAAGATACCCACTTCGCCTTCATGGCTCTGAAGGGATTTGAGGAGCTGAGGACAGGAGACCAACTGTTGAAACAAAAGACGTTCCCTTTTCTCTTAGAAACTCCAAGAGTTTGGTGATAAAGACCAAAAACATATTTATTATAAGTTACAAGTCTTCTAATTCCTTCTAATTCTATTTCTTATAGTAAGTTACATTTAGAGGAATGTAGTAAATGTTTTGAAGAAAGACTATAGGGGAAGAGTTGTTCTAGATGCTGTGTAAAGTGGGGCATTTAATAGCTGGAGCTGGAGCCAGATAATTTTCTTTCCTTTCTGACCACCTGGCCAGTTTTCATTAGAAAATTTCCTTTGGAGACTTCTTCAACTTGCACTTGGAAGAACTGCTTGACAGGTGCTTTCGTGCAAATCTCTGATGCAGCAGAATGTCCTTTGGGATCTGTAGGCATCTCTGTCTGCAGGAGTGTGGGGAGGAGGGGGAAGAACTGTTTTCTCTGCTGTATTTCCTGTACTTTTTACTGGGAAAGATCTACAGCTATAGATCTTCTCAGGCAAGACTGTAAGAATCATTTCCTGCTCTTGGCTTTAGCAGCTGAGGCTCAGGGTGTTTGAGTGATGCTGAGACATCAGAGCTAGGGCTCTGATTCTTCTTTGGGTGCCCTCAGCTCTGCATACCTTCCTTTGTCATGTTCCTCTTTCTCTTTACATACCTTTTAGAAATCTGATGGGCATGGAGGAGGGCACTTGTAGGGATGAGCACTGGGTGTTATATGGAAACCAACTTGACAATAAACTATTAAAAAAAAAAAGAAATCTGTTCTTTTGAAAACCAAGATGATGCTTTGTGTGCTGGGAGAGGCAACGACACAGTGGCAAGTAGACCGTGAGCTGCAAGCAAACCCCTGACTCCAGAGTGGAGTGTGCGAGGCAGCACAGGGTCATTGCAAGAGAGGAAAGGGTGTCAGTCTCCCTAAAAGGAGCAGGAGCCAGATGAGGGCAAAGTGATTGCTACCTGGGGTTCAGCAGTGGCTTCATGAAGCAGGTGGCATTTGGTCCTAGCCTTGCTGTGGGAGATTTGGATATGCTGAGGTAGAGAAAGGTCTTTCAGGCAGGAGGAGCTGGTTTTAGGGCATATACAAGAGCTAGGGAGTCCTGTTGTTTGGCTGAAAGGGCAGGGGTATATAAGAGAGCATAGTGGGGGCTGAAATTGTCACTGGGGTGGGTATGCTGTGCTAGGGTAGGGAGCAGAGAGCTTCAAGGCAGACCTTAGTAGGTCAGTCTGTGCAGATCTTGCAAACTTGGTTTTGTAAAGAGTAAAAGAACACAAAAGACAAAGAGCATACTGGAGAGTAAGTTAGGGTCACACTCCTAGAAGATACACCCTGAATTGTCCTGATGTGTATCTGAGATGTGCTTTTAGGGTGCTTATTCCTTACCTATATTACAAATGAGTAAAAGAAATACTCTCAGTTGCCTGTTTTTATGTGTGTGTTCACTTTAGACTCATCATTCATTTGGGGAGCGTTGTTGGTTCCATCTGTTGAATCTCTTTTCCCATCAGGGTGGAGGAGTCTCTATACAGAAGTCAGAGATGTCCTGGGGGAGGGTCATCAAGGGCCTTCCTCTGGAAGAACAAACGTGGTGGCCGCCAGCCTTTGGGGTGTGAGAAAGGCGTCCTGTGCAGTGGGGCTGGCAGCCCTGAATTCTGGGTGAGTTGCCAGTATCTGCAGGAGTCATGCGGCTTGGTTAGATGTCAAGCAGGGGCCCGAATGGCAGATCAGTAAACCCAGGAGGCCTTACCAGGCCCATGTGAGGTGCGGCTCTGGTGCCCCATACTTCCCACAGCTGCAGCCTCACCTGAGTGTAATGTGTTCAGATGGTGCTACAGGCTTTGTGTTAGTTGTATTGCTTTTTTTCTTCCTGTTGTTTTTCTGGGCGTTGAGTCATTTTCTAAGTCCTGAGGTCTCACTGGAGCTTGTGACTTGTTTATTGTGTCTGGCTCTTTTTTCCTATGGGAGACCATCTCCTATTTCTACACTTAGCTCTGTGAGTATTTTGGCTCCTGGCTTCTGTGGGTGACTTGAGAAGCCTTCCAGTGCTTTGCAGAGAGAGCCTGAGCTGAGTCTACCCACTCCCTTACCTTGGTTGTGGGATTCCTTTGGCAGCTGCATAATATGAGCAGCTTCCTGAATGGCTGCGAACATTGAAGGTCAAGTCTCTGTGGCAGTGTGAATCCCTAGCTGTCAGGGCATGAGTGTTTCTTTCTGGAATCACTTTTCCTCCTGATAAGATTTGGTGTAAAGCCTGGGACATTTAACTTTCTTAAACATCACTGCCTATTTGTCACATCGCAGGTATGCTACAGTGTATGGCTCTTCAGAGAGCGTGCCCAGAGCCCCCCACAGAGCCCCCACACCTCTGGTGAGGAACTCTGTTCTTTTAGCACTGGCATTAGATAACAGGATTGAAGAGATGATACATTCCTTGTTTGCACAGTTCTGACTAACCTGAATTTTTTGCTCCCAAATAAGTTTTTATTTCTGAGTTGAGACTTCTTTCTCTTTTAGCCTAATAATCATCCATGATGAGAAAGGTGATGATTTTGGGGGACAAAAGGGAAGTGTATGATCATTCTCCGTGAGGGGGATCATGGCAGGGCTAGCATGAACTTGACTGTCACAGGTCACCTGGCCATTCTCCTTTTCTGTCAGCATTACAGGTGGAAGAAGACCTATATCTTTTTCTGCTAGTGCCTCAAGCATCTTTGGAAGTGGAGGCAACAGTAAGAAGAAGCTTTTTCTTCAGGATATAGCTGAGCTGATTCGAGCCAGAGCCTGCCAGAGGGTGGTGGTCATGGTGGGGGCCGGCATCAGCACTCCCAGCGGCATTCCGGACTTCAGGTGCCCTGCAGTGCCTAGCTCCTCCCTCACCACCCTGGTCCACTACACCACCCTGCCCTCTTCACAGGGCTCAGAGCCTTTTGCTCCTCTTTGCAGGTCTCCAAGGAGCGGCCTCTACAGCAACCTGCAGCAGTACGACCTACCGTACCCTGAGGCCATTTTTGAGCTTACTTTCTTCTATCACAACCCCAAGCCCTTTTTCACTTTGGCTAAGGAGCTGCACCCCAGGAGCTACAGACCCAATGTCATACACTACTTCCTCCGCCTGCTCCATGACAAGGGGCTGCTTCTGCGGCTCTACACACAGAACATTGATGGGCTCGAGAGAGGTAAGCTCTCTGCATGTCCATACCTTCTCTTCTGCAGGAAAGGCTTGGGTGCCTGCTTCTCCCCTAGCCTGTGACTGATTTCAAGCCAGCTTGTTTTGCCTTCATCCCTGACCAAAATGTCCACTGTGTACTTAAGGGCCACTGTTGGGACCTCATTGGTGGACCCGATGTCCTGGCATACTTGCTGGGCTATGAGTTTTGGACAGAACTAAAGTTGACACTGGGAGCTTCAATTTGCTAATCTGGTATGATTTCTTTTTTTTAATAAAAATTTTTTTTTTTTAAATATTGTTTTTAAATTTTATTTCTAGGAGAGAGAGAGACAGCGTGAGCAGGGGAGGGTCAGAGAGAGAGGGAGACACAGACTCTGAAATAGGCTCCAGGCTCTGAGCTGCCAGTCAGCACAGAGCCCGACGTGGGGCTCGAACCCACGAACCGCGAGATCATGACCTAAGCGAAAGTCGGACGCCTAACCGACTAAGCCACCCAGGTGCCCCCCCAAAAAATTTTTTTAATGTTTATTTATTTTTTAGAGAGAGACAGGTGTGAGTGGTGGAGTGGAAGAGAAAGAGGGAGACACAGAATCCGAAGCAGGTTCCAGGCTCTGAGCTGTCAGCACAGAGCCTGACATGGGGCTTGAACTCATGAACCGTGAGATCATGACCTGACCTGAAGTCAAAGGCCAAACCGACTGAGCCACCCAGGCACTCCAATGATGATTTCTTTTTTTAAGAAATTTATTATGAAAAGTTTTAAGCACATAAAAATAAGGAGAAGAACGTAATGAGCTCTCATGTCCTCCTTACAGCCAGTCCTTTATCTGTGTCTTCTTTCCCCCACCTTCTCTCTAACCCCTCTGTTATTTTGAAGCAGATCTCTCGCATCATAAACTTAATCTGTAAACAATCTATAAGTACTTCAGTGGGTATCTCCAGAAAATAAAGATTTTAAAAATATAACTACGGTATCATTATCACATCATTAATGCTTTAGTATTATCAAACTCTGTATAATATTTCCTGACTGTTGCGATGGCAGCCACAACCAGTGATTCACAGATTGTACTGACTGCTGACTGCATCTTAGAGAAGCATTTGCCAAGCCTCTCTCTTATGGGCAGAGATACCGACACATGCTGACTTTTAGCAAGCCAGCATCAGCTCACCCAGGCTGCAGACATCTTGTGATTTGAAAAAAGGAGTCCTTTCAACTCCAGGAAAATAATTTCTTGCTAGAAGGGTTCTGCAGCTTGGAACCACATAGGCAGCAGTGGACCCCCTGTGGGTGTGAGCTCTTCTGGAGACGCAGCAGGGCAGGCCTGTGTGAAGGCAGGAGCGTCTGGCCGGTGGGCCAGTGTATGGAGATTTATGACCCTAGTGGGGATAGTGGAAGCCACTTGCAGCTGGGACTGTCTGTCCACCCACAACTCAGAAGCTGACAGTAGGAACAGTCTGAATAAGTTACCTCTGTTTGTTTTTCTATAGTTTGTTGCAAACGTATTGTCTTTGTATTGTTTTTTTTCACTTTTACTGGGTATCCATAGAATAGAAAATGTTTTCCTAGTTATTAAATATAATTTTATCTGAACTTACATTAAACTTGTTGACAGGTCTTGTTTTAACCATGATTTGGCACCTTCTGTGCTTATTCTGGTCAGTGGGGCATCATCTGGAGGTGGTGGAGGCAGGGACAGCAGGCTTACTTGAGGGCTGTGACTCCCTCTGGGGGCCTCCCAGGCTCAGAGCTTATGCTTGGGGGCCTGTGTACCCACCCCAGAGTGAGCAGCACTTTGCTTTGGCTTGAATTTCAGTGGCTGGCATCCCTGCCTCCAAGCTGGTTGAAGCTCACGGATCCTTTGCTTCTGCTACATGCACTGTCTGCCGAAGGCCCTTCCCAGGGGAGCACATTTGGGTAAGTTGTCATGCGGACGGCTGTCTCCTGTCTGCACTCTGCAGTGGGAGTAATCTGGAAAAGTGACATTTCATAAGCATTGTAGTGGAAGAACAACAGAACCGTAATGGTGTGAAATGTTTTTCTTTATTATTAAATTGGAAAAGTAATATATGCTTGTCAAACATTAAGAAATATGTAGGGAAATAAGGAATATGTAGGGAAATGGGAAAAATGTACATCCCTTCAACCAATTCCTATAGCCCACTTTAACAGTTTGGTGTATAATGTTCCAAGCCTTTAAAAGAAGGGGAGGGGAGTGGCTCATGGATGGCTCATTCTGTTAAGAGACCAACTCTTGATTTTGGCTCAGGCCATGATTTCATGGTTCAAGAGTTCAAGCTCTTTGTCAGGCTCCATGTGTGGAGCCTCCTCGGGATTCTCTCTCTCCCTTTCTTTCTGCCCCTCCCCACCCCCCCAGAAAATAAATAAATAAGCTTTAAAAAATGTTCAAAAAATGTATATGTAAACATACATGGCCATATCTATATACCCAAAACACACACAGTTACAAAAATTTTTTTAGCAATAGAATTATTAAGTTTAGGGGCGCCTGGGTGGCTTAGTCGGTTGAGCGTCCAGCTTTCGCTTGGGTCATGATCTCGCGGTTCGTGGGTTCGAGCCCCGCGTCGGGCTCTGTGCTGACTGCCAGCTCGGAGCCTGGAGCCTGTTTCAGTCTGTGACTCCCTCTCTCTCTGACCCTCCCCTGCTCACGCTGTCTCTCTCTCTCTCCTGGAAATAAAAAAAAAAAAAAAAAAAAAAAAAAAGAATTATTAAGTTTAATATTCTGTCTACAACTTGCTGTGTTACAGAACAAAATTTCTTGGATATATTGTGTTAATAGCCACAGCTCTGCTGTGTTTTTAGTTTTCTAGTTTTTAGTAGCTAGAGTAATACATTTAGCCATTCACCTACTGTATGACAATTTTTGATGTTTGTAATTTTTACTATTAAAAATAATGCATCAATGATACTCCTACCCCTGTGTACTTCTGGCAATATTTCTGTAGGATGGGTTTCTCCAAGTAGATTAGGACAGTTTGGAAAATTTTAAATAAAGATGAAACTCTGAAATATCGATGAGGCATAGGGCCTTGTGTTTTGGTTTCTGATCATGAGAAATTCATATCATTGTAAAATTAAAACATTTTTAAACCCTTTTTTAAAAATATTTATTTATTTTTGAGAGAGAGAGCATGAGCAGGGGAGAGGCAGAGAGAGAGGGAGACACAGAATCCAAAGTAGGCTCCAAGCTCCCAAGTTTTCTGCACAGAACTCGATGTGGTGCTCAAACTCACAAACTGTGAGATCATGGACCTGAGCTGAAGTCAGACGCTTAACTGTCTGAGCCACCCAGTCAACCCCGTAAAATTAACCATTTTAAAGTGTATGATTCATTGGCATTTAATATATTCACAGTGTCGTACGACCACAACCTCTATCTGATTCCAGAACATTGTCATCACCCCAAAGGGAAACCCTTTACCCACTACTCAGTCAGCGCTCCCCAGCACAACCCCTGGCAACCACTGATCCTTTTATTGTCTCCATGTTTTCACCTTTTCCAGAATGTCAGAGTTGGAATCAGACAGTGTAGCCTTTTCAGACTGACTTCCTGCACTAAGATGCCTTTACATTTCCTTCTTGTCTTTTCATGACTTCATAGCTCATTTCTTTTTATTGCTGAATAATATTCCCTTGTCTGGATGGACCACAGTTTATCCATTTACATACTGAAGGGCACTTTGGTTGCTTCTAAGTTTTGGCATTTGTTAGTAAAGCTGCTGTAAACATCTGTGTGCAGGTTTTTGTGTGGATGTAAGTTTTTCAACTCATGTGGGTAAATACCAAGGAAACTGATTGCTGGATTGTACTGTAAGAGCATGTTTAGCTTAGTACCTTCCAATGTGGCTATACCATTTTGCATTTCTACCAGTAATGATGAGAACAGCATCTGGTGTTGTCAGAGTTCTAGAATTTAGCTGTTGTGTGCAATGGTATTATTTTAATTTTCAGTTCCATGATGACATGTGATATGGAATATCTTCTTAAATTTTTTTTTCTTTTTCTTTTGGAGGGAGAGAGAGAGAGAGCATGAAGTAGGGAGAGGGGCAGAGGGCGGGAGAGAGAAAATCTTAAGCAGACTCCATGCTCAGCAGCATGGAGCTTGACATGGACCTCGATCCCACGATGCTGGGATCATGACCTGAGCTAGATGCTCAATCGACTGAGTCACCCAGGCACCCTATAGAACATTTTTTCAAATGCTCATTTGCCACCTGTGTATCATCTTTGGTGAGCTGTCTATTTAGGTCTTTGGGCCATGTTTTAATTAGGTTGTTGATTTTCTTACTGTTGCGTTTTAAGAATTTTTTGTATATTTTGAATAACAGTCCTTTATCAGAGGAGGATATCCTTTATCTACAGAAGGCAGGGAGAGACCAAAGAGGCGGGCACTGCAGGTTCACAGGTGGCAGTTTTAATAAGCAAGAGAACTTATGTGCGAGGCTTGTCCCGGGCAGCAGCAAGATACTGGATTCCCGCACCTGCCTCCACATCTTACGGGTTTATAATGAGGTCTTAACGGGGCTTGGTCACATCTACTGTGCACATCGCCATCTCCAGGCTGTGTCCTTGAGGAGCCTCTGGGATGAGAAAGGCAAGTGGAACTCACATTCCAAGGATGGGATGGAGTGAGGAGCTGCCAGGTGCCAGGGTCCAGGCCGCAGGTCAACTGGTGGTCACATCTTTTGATGACCTTCCCCAACACTCATTGGTGATTTCTTGCAACTATTCTAGCATCTTGCCAAAACTGAGGCATCTGTTTCTCCAAATCACTTCCAGGATGTTCCTATTAGTATGGTTTCATCCAGTGTTTGGTCCAACCCTCACCAACAAGCGTGTGGACCCATTGATATAAATCTGAGGAATCAGATTAGTAAATTTGAATAACTATGTTAAATTCTTCAGCAAATTAGTGGGTTCTCAGTCAGTTTAGGAAACTGTTTCATTTGGCTCAAATTTCAGCCTTACTCCAGGCCACTTAAGCAATCTGGCATTCTTTGGGACCCCCAGCAGAGTTAACTTTAGAGGAGTAGGTTTTAATAGGTTCAGGAGAGGAGAGGAGAGGAGAGGTTTGGTGGGAAAGGGAAGCTCAACAGAAGGGTTAGAATGAGGGGTGGGTATAGGGGAGGTGGGGACAGTGAGGAGAGAAGAGAGGAAAATGATGCCAGGGGTGGGGCCTGAGTGCAAGGCGGCCCCACCTGTCTGGGGACAAGAAGATGGGGAGGGGAAGAGGCCTCAGAAGCCGTGTTGGCTTCTTTCAATCGTTCGCTTGCCTCAGTTAGTTTACAAATAGTATTTTGCAAAAAGGCAGACTTTGAATTCTAAAAATGTCTGGAAGCCTCAAGTTACCAATTAAACTAAGCATCCAATTGAGTTTTGACAATTTTAGAGCCGCTGCTGTTCAATTCAGTTGTGAGGAAAGTAAATTTGGGGAGCTCGAAAGTTCCCCATAATGGCCATTGAAGTTGTAAATTGCTTTTGGTGAAGTCAGTCAGTCCATTTAGTTAAGAATGCACAGTGGGAGGGGCCGAAGCGTTTAAACATCGAACCGACTGGCCTCCCAGAAGAGTGGGGGCAGAGGCACCCTCAAAGCATTTTGATCACTGGGATCCTATTTCCCAGAGGCTTTTCTCCAGAGTAAAGAGGAAAATTCCTGAACAAACAGCACAGCCCCAGTAGGAACAGCAGGGCTCTAGAAAGGAGTCAGACAAAGGCCAAACGAGTATTCTCTGAAAGGACAAAGCCTTAAAGCCGGTCCCGAATAAAGCCTGGAGAGCTCAAAACAGAGAGTGAAGCACAAATCCAGGAGAAAACTTACACTCAAACCTCAGGATCGGTGAGAAAGCAGTAAACCCAGCTGGCACCCAGGGTGTTGCCACCTGTTTGTTTGCTCACCATCCTCAGTGGCTGGGGCTTGGGGGGGGGGTGCAGGTGTCCTTCCTGCATCCCACTTCTGACACCTAGTAACGTTTTCCTTAAAAATAGACCTTCCAGTTATTTTACCAGTGAAATGGGTTTCTTCGGGAATACTAGAAAGTTGCTATTTGGGACAAGCAAGCTATGACAAAACTGTAGGCAAGTCCAGCCAACAAAGGAGAGGGACATTATTTGATGGAGAGGAGGCAGAGGGTTTGGAAGGGCTGGAGAATCAGGTCATGGAGACGATGGTGTCTCGCTCGCTGAGTCGCTGGAGTGTTCGATTTGATATAGGAGAGGTGGTGCACTTCTTCCCTGGTTGGGGCCTGCCATTGATGGTTCTTTCTGTTGAGGGTTCTTCTGTTGGGTCTATAGTTGACACTTCTTTGTGTGATCGATGGTGAGTGGTATGGCTCCTTCTAGCCTCCTAGAAGGACATTAGCGAGGTCTTCCTGTGTTAATTTTCATAATGCTCAGCTGTTTGTTGAGGAGGAGAGATTTGCTCCTTTGTCAAAGATCAGTTGACTGTGCTTTTGAGAGTCTGCTTCTAGGGTTTCTGTTGTGGTCCTTCACTAGCGCCACAGTCTTGATTCCTTTTTTTTTTTTTTTTTTTTAAAGTTTTTGCTTAAATCCTAGTTAGGTAACACACAGTGTTATATTAGTTTCAAGTGTGCAATATAGTGATTCAACACTTCTATACATCACCTGTTGCTCAAAATAAATGCCCTCCTTAATACCTATCACCTATTTAGCCCATCTCTCAAACCCTTCCCCTCTGGTAACCATCAGTGTGTTCCTTATAGTCAAGAGTCTGTTTCTTGGCTTGCCTCTCTCTCTCTCTCTTTCTTTTTCCCTCTTATTAAGAGCTATCTTTTATTTATTTGTTTTAAGTTTTTTTTATTTGAGAGAGAGATAGAGTGCACGTGAATGGGAGGAGGGGCAGAGAGAGAGAGAGAGAGAGAGAGAGAGAGAGAGAATCCCAAGCAGGATCCACACTGTCAGCACAGATCCTGATGTGGGGCCCAAATTCACAAACTGTGAGTTCATGACCTGAGCTAAAAAAAAAAAGAGTTGGACGCTTAACCAACTGAGCCACCCAGATGTCTTAAGAGCTACCTTTTAAAGTATGTTGTGACATCTTTCTTGGTCCATTTTCTATTTGTGTTACACAGGCTGAAGTGATGGTGGACAGGATCCCCCGCTGTCCAGTCTGCACTGGCATCGTGAAGCCTGACATCGTATTCTTTGGGGAGACACTGCCCCAGAGATTCTTGCTGCATGTGGTTGATTTCCCCATGGCAGATCTGCTGCTCATCCTTGGGACCTCCCTGGAGGTTTGTCAGCAGGCCTAGTGGTGGGCTGAGTGTGTGGGGAGGAGGCTGGAAAGATAGGGTAGAGGAGGCAGGGCTGGTGGGGGTGGCTCCAGATTCTCTCAGAACCCCCTGGCATCCTAGCTTCAGAAGATGAGTGGGTTCAACTGGTGCGGAAGCAGAAGTATTCCTGGCCTAGGGAGTGGAAGCCTGGGCAGAATGGGGAGGAGGGAGGATGCTCGGCTTTGGAGGTGCTATCAGTGTGGGTGAGGCACAGTGTGTGAGGGGAAGGGAGAAGGGGGGGTGTAGACAGGTTGAGTGGGACCAACCTCCCCGGCCACATCACAGAGGCCAATTTTGTGCTAGAAGCAGTGATGGACTTGAAAGGATTAGACCAGAGACATAGTTTGTGCCCCTTGGGTCAGAGAGATTGTTGGTGAGTGGGGATGGGGATTGAAGCAAGATGTCCGGGAGGCTAGTCCTCAGGAAAGCAGAGCTGTGGGCACAGTCAAACCATGTGACTGTGAGAGAGGGCAGGGAGAGGGACTGGCTGGAGCAGGGACAGGAGAGGGAGTGGTCTGGCTCTCCCTCTATGGTCTATGGGTGCTCAGGCCATTTGTTGGTAAGGAGGAATTTAAAGGGAGGGTGCTGAGCTCAGTTCTGCACATGTGTGTTTGAGGTGCTTGGGAGACACCCATGGACACATTCTAGAAGCTATTCTACTTCTGTATCTGGAACTCAGAAACTTTGTAAAGGAATCAAGAGCAAGAAATGAGACCCTGCAATGGGTTCTGCCTAATTGGATGTAGGCAGCAAGGTGCAGAAGGGCCAGAAAGGCCTGTACTCAGGGCCTGGGTCAGCCACAGAGGCCTAGAGTGGTGTGCCCGCTGTGTGCTGGACCCTGTTCCAGTGCTTTGGACAGACAAAGTAAGATGCGTAAGCGAGTGACACAATTTTAGGTGATGGCACATGGAAAAATAACAAGTGTGATAGGAAGGCTCGGAAGGGTTGTGAACTGTTTGTGATAACAGTGTGGTTGGTTTGCATGACCGAGTCAGGAAGGTGACCCCAGAGCTGAGGCCTGAAGGAGATGCAGGTGTCAGCTGAGGGTGTCTGGCAGTAGACACTGCCCGTGGCCAGCAGTGATGAAGGTCTGACCTCCTGATCCTGTGGGTGCTGTGTTATGAGTGCACCATGGCGCATGGTGAGGTGGTGGGGAGAGCCGGTATAGAGGCCCTGAAGGTGGCAGTCCAGGTTGTGGTGGTGGTTGGCCAGGTAGCGCTGCAGAGGGCATTGGTGCCCAGGTGTGTAAAGGAACATTGGATGGGAGAGTGTGGACCTCCCGCAGGGCTCCAGGGTTGTGACCTGAGTGGCCACAAGGATGGAGCTGGTTTCCTGAAACTGAGAAGCCTTGGCAGGTTGGGGGATCTTGGCCTCGGGCACGCTGATTTGACAGCTGTTTTTGGCTGTGGATGTGGGTGGCAAGTGGGTGGATTACTGCACCTGGGGTGGCACAGTGCAGACAGAAGAGCCCAGAGCATGGACAGGCCCATGATGTCCACACTGGGCCCAGTTGGAGGGGTGGACCTAGGAGATAGGTAGAGGGGCCAGGGGCCCATGGTGCCAGCAGTGTCTAGTGCTGAGTCTGGCTGCCCTGTGCTGACCAATAGTGATGGACACTGAGGCCCCTACCAGCCCTCCTGTATTTCTTAAGTGAAATGAAAATAACCTTTCTCTCTGATTATAAAAGTGCCACATGCTTGTTTATAAAAATTTATACATTATGTAGACTTGCAGAGCGAATTGAGGAATCTCTTCAACTCTACCAGCACCGCAAGTGTTGTGCTGTGTCCTCACAGGCTTCTGCGCTACACAGATGTGGTGATCTTAACCAGAAGTGCGGCAGCACTGTGCACAGAGACCTAGCTTGTTAGTGCCTCTAGTGTCTCTGATGAATGAGGATACGAGGTCCCCATTGGGAGCCCCAAAGCAGAGTGCTTGTCTGTAAGCACTAAGCAATCTGTGGTGTGGCTCAGACTTTATCTCATATGCTGCGTGGAGGAAATATTAATGCACTTGGTTATACATCACCCCTCCCATGTTGCTCAGGTGTGACATAATATATGGTACATAAATCGTGTGATGTTTTCTAAAACATGAAATATTCTAAATTCTGGAACACACCCAGCCCCAAGTTGTTTTTTTTAAACATTAATTTTTTTTTTTTTTTTTGCTTTAGGGAAAAAGAGTATACACAAGTGGGAGAGGGGCACAAGGAGAGAGAGAGAGAGAGAGAGAGAGAGAGAGAGAGAGAGAATCTCAAACAGGTTCCATGCTTAGTGTAGAACCTGACGCAGCGCTCAAACCCATAAACCATAAGATCATGACCTGAGCCGAAATTAAGAGTTGACTGAGCCACCCAGCTACCCCCCAGCCCTAAGAGTTTTAAGATAGGGATGATAGATGGATGACAAAATTTATTTAAGCAAAATTGATGGGAAATGAAAATAATAGATTTTATATTAAAAATAATGATGTAGTGAATAACCACATGTAACCAGGTTTTCACATTCATGTGAGTACTTTTGTAGAAAATAAATATTGAGAAGTTGCTTTCCAGAAAGATATGCTAGTTACATTGCCACCAACAGATGTGGGCCATTTCTCCACATCCTCACCGACAGCAAACATTACCTGTCTTTAAGTTTTTATCCATCTGATTAGTTATAAATAAATAAGTGTGTGTATGTGAGAGACAGAGAGCGAAAGGGAGGGGAGATTTAACGTTTCCATAATAAAGAGTGAAGTTAATCTTTTAGTGTTTATTGAGCAGTGTTCTCCTTGGATTACATATTTGTACCTCTTGCCCATTTTTCATTGGGTTATTTTCTTAGTTGGTCTATAAATTAGCAATATAAATTCATAAATTATATAAAATGTTTATAAATTAGTTTAGCAATTAGAAATATAAGCTATTTGTCACATGTTGTAAATATTTTTGCAGTTTATTTATGATGATTACTTTTAAAAAGTTATTTTTCTGCATAGTGTTTTTATGTAGGTGATAATGTGAAAGTATTACATAGCCAGACTTGTCATGATTTTCCTTTGTCTCATCTGACTTCATTACCAGGCCTAAAATGTCCTTCCCTACCTTTACTTACAAACCCTAAACTTTCTTTAAGAACTGTTTTGTTTAGGGGCGCCTGGGTGGCTTAGTCGGTTAAGCGTCCGACTTTCGCTTAGGTCATGATCTCGCGGTTCGTGGGTTCGAGCCCCGCGTCGGGCTCTGTGCTGGCTGCCAGCTCAGAGCCTGGAGCCTGTTTCAGTCTGTGACTCCCTCTCTCTCTGACCCTCCCCTGCTCACGCTGTCTCTCTCTCCTAGAAATAAATAAAACATTTAAAAAAAAAATGTTTTGTTTACATTTAAATCTTTCACTCATTTGAAATCTTCTCAATGAAGGCAGGAAATCTCAATGAAGGCAGGAGTTGAGTTTTTCCCTCCCAGGTAATGAGCCAGTCTCAATACCATTTAATAATCTGTTTTTAAATTTTTATTTTTATGTTTATTTCTGAGAGAGAGAGAGACAGAGACAGAGAGACAGAGAGACAGAGAGAGAGAGACAGCATGAACAGGGGAGGGTCAGAGAGAGAGGGAGATACAGAATCTGAAACAGGCTCCAGGCTCTGAGCTGTCAGCACAGAGCCTGATGCGGGGCTTGAACCCACAAATCATGAGATCATGACCTGAACCAAAGTCGGATGCTTAACTGAATGAGCCACCCAGGCGCCCCTTTAATAATCTGTTTCTAATTTCTAATGGAAATTTCACTTGGAAGCAGCATGAAGAAGCCCAAAGTCACCGAGTTAGGATTCTCTGGAGGTCTAGACGGTGAGGGCTGTGGAAAGGGAGGGGCGCCCTCTCTGGTGGGCACGTCAGGAGCTCTCTGTGGGGCCAGGTCCTTGCTCCCAGGGAGCAAGGGTGGACAGACCAGATGCTGCTGGGAGGAGATAGTGTGTGGTGGGGGAGGGAAGGGAAGGTGGGGCATAGTTTCTGGAGCTCAGGGGCACCTGGGCAGGGAGACCCACCAGAGCCCAGGACATGTGGGGAACAGAAAGAGGGATGTGGGCAAGAGGGAGGCTCGGGAAGGGAGGAACCCATGCATGGAGACCAAGCAGACAGTGTGATGGGAAGAAATGAAATAGGTGGTGAAGTTTCCTTGTAACCAATGTCTGTCAGTCTGTGCCCTAAGGGGCTTGGAGGGTGGGCACTGTGCTCCTCATTTTTGGGCAATTTTTCAGGTAGAACCTTTTGCCAGCTTGTCTGAGGCCGTGCGGAGCTCAGTGCCCCGACTGCTCATCAACCGGGACTTGGTGGGGCCCTTTGCTTGGCGTCCTCGCAGCAGAGATGTGGTCCAGCTGGGGGATATGGTTCACGGCGTGGAAAGGCTGGTGGAGCTTTTGGGCTGGACCGAAGAGTTGCAGGACCTCATGCAGCAGGAAGATGAAAAGGTACAGACTGCAGGGTCATCTCCAGGGCTGCCTTCCTCGCTGCTCTGGGGTCTGGGTCCACCTGGTGTGGAACCCTGTTGGATCAAGCAGTGACAGAAATAGCTAATATTGGCTGTTAATCCTGTACCAGCCGCTGTCCAGGGTCACCTCCGTGTGGACATGAAGAAAGGGATGCTAAGTGCCTGGTCTCCAGTGGCAGAGCGGTGACTTGGTCCTGGTGGACTGGGCTTGCTCTCGCATCACAGGGCAGCACTGCCTTTTGTCCCTAAAATAAAGCAGCACCAAACAGCTACAGGCTAAGGTGTGGTTCTGAGATGGACTTTGAGGAGCTGAGCTCTGTGCTGTGTGGTGTGGGACAAAGCCCACCCTGGGGAGGCTTTCTGGAGAGCAGTAATGTGAGAGCTGTTGGCCTATGACAGTCTGCTGAGGGTTGAAAGCCAAAGACCCTTGGTACTTTCAAACCTGTAACAAGTGAAGTTACAGAAATTGCAGTCTCACATAATCTGCATGTGTAGCCCTGGTGTGAGAGATTATTTTCTAAAGAAGGCAGCAGTAAGCATTTGAAGTCCATTTGTCTCACAGAGAGTCATCATGCGACACTGCCCAAAGAGGATGGGGCAGAGGTCTGGAGACAGCCTTACTCTTCAGCCGTGACTGCCTCAGGGCTCAGGGCCATGGGTCAGGCCTTCTCCTCACCTCCACTGGCAAAAGCCCCCAGCCTCTGGCTGCAGCCTGATTTCTTACCAAGTTGAACCAAAGAGAGAATATGAGGCTTATTAAGGACGAAAGGCTTCACAGTTTCTGTTTCCACACATAGTAGACATCGTGGCCATATTTTTACCCTAGCTTTCCATTCCAGAGGTTGACTCTAATGACTAAGATGTAGGTTGGTGTCACTCTTCATCTCGTTTAAATATCAGTTATGCTGCTCGGTCATTTGAGGGAAGTAGAGAATGCAGGTAACACTGAAGTATATACTTTACATGTTGAGAGGAGAGTCAGTAGGTCTTGCTCAGGCCCGCCTGGCCACTTCCTGGCTCTGGTGTCCTACTTCCATACAGCAACAAGACTAAGTCATGTGGCCCCAGGGATTTTTGTAAGTAGTCCTACCAGATTTGACCTGTGCATTTCCTGGTCTTACAGAAATTTATGTAAATTGGGTTCTGGTTTTAGGGGATTATGTATTTAAAGAGTTGCTATTGAAGAGTAAGCGTCAAGGGTTGGGTGGCAGTCCAATTTGAGTTACTTTGCCAAATAATGCATGATCTTGAGCACATGAGCTTCAGCACATCTCAGGTGGTTACTTAAATGAAGCCCTCCATTTAGCCACCCAGTTTTGCCCAGCCCTGCTGGGATCCTGTTACTTGGGCTCAATAGCAGCATTTAGCAGAGGCAGAAAAGCTTTTGTGTTTTATGATAGTTCAAACCCAGGCCCAGAGATCTGCAGGACTGATTCCCCTTCTTCTCTGTGTTCCAGCTCAATGGATGGGATATATAGGGTGATGGCTGGTTCCCCCATCACTCCCGGGACCAGAAATGGTTCCACAGAGTCACTGCCAACCACTAAGGAAAGTTTTGGCGGAACTGAACCTGTGGCCTAAGGAAGAATGTGAGGCTGCGCAGGTCATGAGCTCTGTGCAGACCAGTCGTGTTGTGCTCACACCACGGCCATGTGTCACAGGTGCTAATGAGCTGCCTGGCACCTTTCTGCTATTGGACTCTTCAATCTGCTGAAGCTCGTGATGGAAGTCAAGCAAAAGCTTTCTTTTGACCACTTGAACTCCAACAGACTAATGGAAATCCCTGACTGGATCTGCTGTGTCCAGGTCTCCATCTGAAGTGCAGGCTCAGCATCTATCTGTTAGAAAGACCCAGTCTCTCGCCGAGTGGCCTCAGATACTCCCAAGGCGTGGTCCTGGGTCCCAAGTAATAGAATAGGAGGCCTCTAGTATGCTGGCCTCCTTCATAGAGTTATTTTTAATTAAAGAAACTATTCATTTCTGGCATGAAATGAACTCTTTGGTCTCAAGGGAATACAGGTGTCAACAGTGGCTGCAGAAAGGGGACCCTGGGGGTGTGTGAGCATTCTTCTGATTAGAATAACCCAAGGATGGAGAACATGCCCCTGAATTCACCCTGGAGGTGGGCCTGGCACCGTTTCCCAGGTAGCCCCAGCACCCCTTGCTGCAGGGCATCATGCCACATTTACTCTGCTCCGGCAGCTAACCACTTCCCATCCCTACCCTCTCCCACCAGGCCTTCCCATAATGCCTCTAGGATTGACATCTATGTTGTGGAAGGTCTTACTCACTTAGAAACCTTGGCTGGCCTCCAGCCCAACATGTACTCAGGCCATATTTCCTGTGCCTGCACAGGCCCCTCCTGCTGGGGTTGTCCCAAGGCCGAGCAAGGACAGCACCACCCAAGCACACTGTCCTGACCCCTGGCTCGCACCCAGTATGTGCTCCCTTGGGCGTGGTTTCCCCACTCACTGCACATTTAGCAGACTCCTCAGAAAGGGTCTGGTGGCCTCCTCAAGAACAAAATAGGTGAATGATGATTTTGGAAAAGGGCTGAATTCTGAAAAAGAATGAAATTAACTTCTCACACACACACTTGCTCGAAACTGTATTCTGAGATGATGTTTCAGTGATGCTTTGTGGTACATGACAGAAATCAAGACTTATGGTTTTACGAGGTGCATTTTCCTTCATTATTTATTGTCTACGCCAGTGGGAAGGCCAGGATTCCACTGTCACAACCAGTGAGAGCTTGGGTGCTGTGGATACTACAGCAGAGTGCTGACAGACGACCAAGAATGCATAGGAGGAGACTACCAGTCCTGAGCTCAGTGGGGACAGAAACAGCAGAGCATACCTTGAAAGTATGTTTCTGACATTAGTATACATGGTCCTAGCAATTTCTTTTCCTGGGAACTGCAGCGCTTGCCTGACACAGAAGCTCTGGGTCAGTATGCCAGCCCTGGACATGACTGCGTGTACATGTGCCCATGCTCGGCCCCTGCCCCCAGGCAGCAGCCTCCGCACACATCCTCTTGGCACACAAGACCACCTCATCTGTGGAGATCAAGGTTGAGTTCCCAGAGCTGCAGCAGGACAGGCCCTCAAAGTCCTAAAGATAAGAAATTGGACCAGAGACAAACCATTTACAGAACTTTGGAAGTAAAGAGAAAAGGGTCTCCAAGCATGGCTTCCTCGGGTCACGGTCTCAAGGCCATCTCTGGCAGCAGCACCAGTTCTGAAGGGTGAACAGAAGAGTGGGTGTCCTCAGTCGGGGTCTGAGTCGGGTTCCGAGGAGAGCTGCCCTTCCATGGTCTCACAAATGGCATCCTGCAGGGATGTAAGCTGACCCCGGGGACTCATCCCCATAGGCTGGATGACTCTGTGCCTGTGGGAGGAAAGCACAGTGGGGAAGGGGCACAGCACGTGGGGCAGAAGTTGGGTTCACCCCTGGCTATGTCCTTATGCCAAATAGGCCTGAATCCAAACTGCTATCCAGTGGCTTGGAGACCTTACACACTCTAGAATTCTAATTTCTCCAGGTCTCAATTTTCATCGTCTATGAAATAAATGTAATACCAACCTCAAGTCTAATCCTTTTCGGGGGCATTTCCTGTTTGCAACCTTGGTAATGCAGCCTTGCCTAAGGTCAATTTTTACCCCATTTCCTGGCACTCATAGGACTGGACATGAGTCTTGGGCTTCTGTTCTCCCTTCTCCCAGCTGTGGGCCCCTCTTCACCGCAACTCGTACCTGGAGAGCTTGTCAAACATGTTCACCAGCTTCATGGCCTCGTGTTCCTTCTGCTCCTCTGTCATGCCCTCCATGGGGTTGGGCGGCTCTTCCTCCACCCTCCCGGTCACTGGGTTTATGCTGCTTCCCAGAGGAGGGATTTTGGGGAATGCATTAGTGACTCTCTAGGATAGAGGCAGCTGCAGGGACCCAGCTCCCGCTCCCGACGGCCTTGTCCCACTCAGCCCACATTCTCAGCAGAATATCCTGACACCAAAATAGGTTACTTATGGGATCAGTGCCTGACTCCTGAAAGTTTAGCCATCTGTCATCCTGTCCCACCCACCCTGTGAGTCCATATGGGAGTGGCAAGAGGGACCAGGCTGAGTGAGAAGAGCCGAGGGTGTAGGGGCACACACCTGGCCTTGGCTTCCTTGTATTCCTCTGTGTCCGTGTCCTCGTCCTCTGAATACTGGCCCTCAGGCCGGCCCCCCGCCATGAGGCCCCTGGCAGCCAGGAGGCCCGCAGCATTTCCGTAGCCCGTGTACTTGATGAATCGGGGCACTGAGAAGCAGGGCAGAGATCAGTGTGCAAAGGTAGCTAGGAGGGACAGGCTCTGGGCCAGATCCTGCCACTCACCACTCTCGGAGCACAAGACAAACAGGAACTCAGCTGCCACTCTCTTCACGTCAGTATCCAGGTGTGTCATGAGGCGAACGAGCTTGTTCCGCAACAGGTCCCCAACTTCAGGCCGGGTCCTTACGTCCCGCAGCGGGGGCAGCACCTGGGGAGGCAGCCATCCCTCAGCCTGGGCCTGGAGGAACTGGGGTCTGTGAGCAGGGTCCCGCCCAGGCCCCTGTGCCCCATACCTGGGCCTTCAGGAACTTCCTTGCAGGGCGGTGCATGCGGGCACACTCCGTCAGCACGCTCAGCACGGGGGCCACGCTCTCTTTCAGCCTGTGTGTCTGCAGAGGAGCCTCTGTCACCGGTGCTGTGCCCCCACCTGACTTGAAGTTCAGGGGGGAGGCTACACGCAGACCAGACAGTCTTGGCAGGAGGCCTTGCCCTGGTTAGTCAGCTGAGGGGCCAAGAGTGGGCAGCGGGTGATCCACAATGTGAATTTCAAGAGGGCCACAAATGGAACTTAACTTAGGAGGGCACTCACGTACTCTATGACCTGGGGCAAATAACTCATCTGCTCTCACTTCCTCACCTATATACCAAAGTTGCATGGAAAATACAGAGCATTCACAGCTATTAGCACAACACTGGCACATGACCCATCCTCAGAAAATAGCGGCCAAAACACAAAAAGAAAATCTCTACCCAGCTAGTTTCGTGGATTCAGAGAACAGAGAGCTCCTGTCTTTCCCTGGCCTCCCCCCAAGTTATCTTCCCGGACCCCAACCCCAGTAACAGCAGTGGGTAGGGACAGTCATAGCCATCACATCCAATGCCAGGTGTTTGTGACCCAGCTCATGGCATACATGCACAATGTGGATTCTGGAAGTGTCCACCTAATCCCGCTCCATTGCACTCTGTACCCTGTGTGATGTCTGCAAGCTCCCAGAGAAGCTGGGCAGAGGTCTGGCCAATGTCCTGTGTGCAGGCCCAAGAACCAGGTAGCCTCTGGCTCAAGATGCATGTGGGTCCCCTCAGGGATGCTTGTTCCCATGGGCTGCCTGTGTGCAACAACACTAAAATTCTACAGTCACAAGCCTGGGCTGGGGAGTTCTCAGGGTCACTCAAAAGACCCACAGAGATCTAAAAGGTAAGTATTTTGTTTGAAAACTCGCGGTAACCAACAAAAGGAAAACCTTCAAATAAGTGTGTGAAGATCCCCATGTTTCTCAGGGAGGAGGAGTCTGGTTTTCTGTCAGGCCGGACCACCAAGCAGCTGGAGAAGTTGCCCAACTCACATTGCCAGGCTGATCTCCACTTACCACTGTAGATCGTGAAAAAGCAGGGACCGCAGCTGCTGGGGAAAGTCAGAGCCAATGAGGCACCCACACAGCAGGTCCCTCTGCCCACCTGGTGCAGACGCTTTTCCAGGAAGCTGAGGAGGACACGAATCACATCCATGTTTGCTCCCAGGAACTCCAGGGAACCTTCATGTGGCTCCAGGGTAAGAAGGACATCCAGACACTTAAGGGGCAAATTTCCCAAGAGATTCACTGTGTGGCTGAGGACAGACAGGGGAGAGGGACTTGATAGTGTGGTCCCCCAGCACAGGTACAGCCCTTGGTGCCCTCTGCAGAGGCCACGTGTGATGTGAACTAGCGTCCAGGGACTTGATGGCCAGCAACAGAGGCCAGAACTGAGAGTAGGACTAAGCTCAGAGACTCATCCCACTTAGTGGGGTGAGTTCCTAAAGAAAGGGGCACTCTCTGCAGATTTCCTCCCTGCCACCCTCTGTCTGGGCTGAAGCACCATAGACGCTTTTGAAAGCTAGAACCTGCCTCAACACAGGTCACTGAGAACAGAGATGAATAACCACATTGCCCTGTAGATACCACGCCGTCCATTACTACTACTCAACTTCCAGTGACACATTCCTTTCTGCAGATCCAGACCTCCTGTCCTGATCACATACTGTAGAGACACATCGATGTCTGGTCCCAGCCAGACAGATAAAAACTCTCTAAGGTGGAGCCTAGCCCACAGTCATGGCTGGGAACCACTGTCCAGACACGTGAACACACTTCCCTTCCATCTCAAGAGACTGCATCCTCACCCGTGGAACTCCTCTGTGCGGTCTCCAGCAGCAGCGACCATCACACAATGCCGCAGAATGGTCCCCAGGTGCCGATAAAGGGCAGCATCTTCCTGACCAAAAAGAAAGGTGCTCCCGTGAGAGGAAGCCCCGCTCCAGGATCATGTGCATGGACCACGCATCTCCTCTACTTGTTCTTTTCTACTCTACCTCGAGAGCATTTCCGTGATCAAGAACGTCACTAAGTCCTCTTGAGATGAAGTCACAGCATACTCCAGCCCCACGCTCACGGCCTCATGTTGGGAAATCTCCTACAGCCTCCCCATACACCAAACAGCCCTCCTGCTAGGCTGGAAGAGCCAGATAGGCCCTCCGCTCTCTCAGAAATCATCTTTAGGCTCCCTGCCCAAAATGTGCATCTCCGTGCATCTCTTTACATCCTCCCGATAAACTAAGAGCTCCACCTGCCCTCTCCCCATCTGATGCCCAGAAACTTGCAGGTAACCTACAGGCAGACAGTTCCAGTAAATATCCACACCGTTAAGCTCTACGCATGGACTCAGGTCAGCCCTCACCTCATCCACCTCTCTCTTGATGGAGTCAAAGGTGATGTTGAAGAGCACTTTGAGGATCTCCATGGCCCGCTCAGTCTCCTGAGGAGGAAGGAGCTCAGGAGGGCCCATATCAGGGGTCATTCCCAGTGTCAGCTCCAGGGCATCAGTCAGCAGGCGCACCCCCTGCAACTCCTGAAACAGCTGCTGGCGGGCATCAGTGCGAAGAGCCGTTAGCAGGAAGAGGAGGCGCAAATCAAAGAACTGGACTTCGTGTGGGAAGCTGCTCTTGTGATACAGCCCCACGCGCTCTGCGAGCCTCACCACTAGGCGGGCTTCTGCGGCCAGCGCCTGTGCCACCGGGCTGCTGAGCACGAGGTTGCACAGGCACTTAAGGGACTCGAGTACAACGTCCATGTCCAGAGGCTCAGGGACGGACCCCTCCAAGGCGATGCCAGCATAGAAGGCAAGTGCCTGCAGGCTCTGGCGGCTGGTGAAAGGATCTAGGCAGCTGCGGTCCCTGGTCAGGATGCGGATGCTCTGCAGCCAAGTGACGCGGCGGGAGGGTGGCAAGCCCCGCTCCAGGACCGAGACCAGCAGCTCCGCCAGTCTCTGTGGGCAGAAAGAAGAGCGGCTCTACCACGTCCCTTTTCCCCGAGGCCTCCCATTCCTGCGCCTTCACCCCTCGGTCAGCACCCACCTTCCGGTCCTCCTGTTGGGCATCATCAAACGTGAAACTCTGGGAGTTCTGCAGAGAGACTCAGGGGCTCAGGGGCACAGGTCCGCACCAGGCAGGACCCGGGCTCCGTGGATGGGGAACAAATGGCGCCCCCCCCCCCCCCGCCCAGCAGTGTGCGCACCCGGACTCTCTCGCGGTAGCAACTCCTCACGGACTCGGCGCCCCGCCCGCCGCGCTCGCGCCCCACCCTGCCCCACCTCTTCTTGCGTGTACCATGTTCCCGGCTTTCGCTCACCTCCCGGTTGTACGTGCGCAGAGCCTCCATAATCACATCCTCCTCTCCTGTCTCCACAGCATCCGCCACCACCCGGGGCTCCATGGCACCCCCAGGATACCGCGGGGGGGCTGGTGACAGACGCTTGGCTTTCGGACTCCGAGAGGAGCCCGCTCGCTCCGCCCTAACTAGGCGCGCGGGGAATGCCGGGACCGGCGTGCGCGGCGCCGCAGGGCGGGGCCTGGGACGCGCGCGGGGGACTCTGGGACGGGTACGCGCGGAGCTGTGGGGCGAGGCTGGGATGGGCGGCGCTGCCGCTCTGGGGTGTGTCAGGGCTGCGGGCTCAAGGAGGCGAGACGCGGACCAGCTGACTGGAACTTGAAGATTTTGCCCGGGGTTAGCTGGGGTTTTAAAGATCTTCCTGGTGATCGTCCGCCTTTGGGGCCGAGTTGCCTCTGATCCTAACAGGGCTCCCTGCTTCTTGGGCTGGAATTTCCAGCAGGCGAGGACCTCAGCCCGCACCAGCAACCCTCCCACCCACGCCCCTCGTGATGGACAGAACGAGTGGAAGTCGAGGGGAAAGTCCAGGTGGAAAGGACTTTGCCTACTGTATGCGAGGTCCCTGCTTTCGTAAAGGTTGTGTTCCAAAAGTGAACATAAGGAAAAACGGACAAATAAGACGCCGATAGGCATCCATAGTCCTGTGATTTACGAAAAAAGACGGAGAGCCTGGTGGGATGCAAAGGGATCTGACGAAATACCACTTTTGGGGCCTGGACGATAAGAAGTAATCTGGGGGAAGGTCATGCAAAACCAAAAGCAGCCAGTGCCAAGATGGGAATGGCCGTGTTGGGAGAGAGAGACAGACATCCTTGAGTCTTAAACAAAGGGGAGAGTGGGGAGGGGTCAGGATGAAGGCAAAGGCTTATCTTCGGCATCAACTTCCTGGGTATGTAGCGCAGACACAGCCTCGGCGCAGCTTCCTCTTTTGAAAAGCAGAGATGGTAGAAGTTCTCGTTTCAGTGTGTTGTCAGGAGGACTAAGTGACACAGAGCAAACGCTCCAGTAAGGTGGGGAGGTATCCACTGGCAACAAGCCTATGTTGACCATCCCCTTTGTACCGCAACTCTCTCGGCGCCCGCTCCTACTGTCCCCACCCCGTCCCCCAACCCTACCCTCCCACCCCTCGTCTGGCTTCATTTTCCTTCAGAATGCTTCACCCCTGCACCTTCTGCAGCGATTGCTCGTCCCAGGCCCCGACCTCCACTTTGCCGCACCAGCAGTACCCGGGGCCGGGATTCGCACCGCAGCCTGGCGGGGGTGGATGCCTGTCGAGACCCGTTACCGCCTCTCTCGCCTGATAAAGGAAGGGCCTGGGAGAGTCTCCTACGGAGCACCTGACCCCGCCTTCTGCGCGGTGGGCAGGTAGAAGTGTCTGTCAACACAGTAATTGGCCGGGGAAAGCGCCAACCAGCAAGCGGTCCCCAGAGCACACGGCCCATTCCCTCCCCGTGTCCGGCGGCGGTACAGACCTCTGGCAGGTTCGGCTCGCGTCACGTCACCCTGGCGGCCGGGCCTCGGCCGGAAGTCGGCGTGCCCGAGCGGAAGGGGCAGGGCCGGATGGCCCTTCCCGCGACTGCGCCACTTCCGAGGAGGCTGTGGCCGCCCTGTTGACGGACCCCCGGGCCGGGGCCGGGCGCGATGGCGGACTGGGCTCGCGGTGAGCGCGCGGGAGCGAGCCGACTGGCGGCGCGGCCGGCCGTGACCGACGGGCTGCCCGCTGGAGCCGCCTATGCCTGCCCCTGCCCCGCTGAGTGGCCGCGGAGCCGGGTTGCGCGCGGGGGGGAGGGGTCGCTGGGGCCCTGCGGTGCTCCTGCCCCTGCGAGGTCGTTCGGCCGGTGGCCCGCAGGTCCCGGAAGCTAGCATGGGAGAGACTGCTTTGCGTGGTGAGGTGGCCCAGGCAGTCCCGTTTGCCCTCGGAGAGCCCCCGTACTCACCTGGGATTGGGATGCTGATGCCCGTGTCTCTAGTCTCTTGTGACTGTTAAGGTATTAATGAACACGAAGTGATTAGCAGGACGTTAACATCCTTTCTTTTGGGGTTGGTATTCGTCAGTGATTCGTAGGGCTGTGCCTCTGTCACATTAAGGCATCCCGACTGCTGCAAATTTGCACTCCGAACTTGGGGGAAGATGGTTCGCACCCATCTGATGTGACAAATTCGGAATCATCCAACCCAGTACTAGTCATGGCTCAGGGTGTTCTGTAAGATGCGGGGTGTAGAGGTGAACAGACCTAGGGCTTGCAGTCAGGATCGGCCTCAGCCCCTATTTTTGTGGGTTGGGGAGCTTTGCTAATTTGTTTCCTCTTTGGTCACTTGACATCCCTTCAGGACCCAGTTCATGGGCCATCCCTGCCAGAGCCTTTCTGCTTCCCCCCTGGTGCTCTTCCTACCAAGATTAACTGTCCCATATATCCTGATGATGACATCTGTGGAGGCATCATGCAGGTTCTGTGACAATATCAGAAAGTGCCAGTAGGACTTGCACCACTCTGGGGTGCCTGGATATGTTCACAGGACATGGTCACATGACGGGTGCTCACACACACTATCCTTTACACAGCCCGTCACGTGTGACGTCCAGGCACCGGACCCTGGGTTAGGGTTGGGCCTACTCAACAGACGTGAACTGAGTCCTCTGAGACTTCCAACATGGCTGGATAGGATTGGAGTGAGAGTCCTGAGGCCACAAAGGGCTGACACTCAGGGGTCAAGGGCAGTGCTCACAGATGGATGCTCTGCCTCAGACTCTCCCTTCTCGCAGCTCAGAGCCCCGCCGCTGTGGAGGAGATTCTAGACCGGGAGAATAAGCGGATGGCCGACACCTTGGCTTCCAAGGTCACCAGACTCAAATCGGTCAGTGGTGGTCGTCCCTTCACCTCCACCTGGCACCCTGGAGTGGGGGCTAGAGGGAGGGTAGAGGCTGGGGAGGGTTTCAGGCAGCGCCCATCTTCCTTGTCTCCTCCATGGTAGCACTCGTGTGTGAGGTCCAGGTGACACCTGAATCTCCTGATCTCTGCTAGTGGTCCTGTGTCTGGCAGAGTTGTTTGCAGGGTCTGCTGGTCTTACTGGGGGTCAAGTGCCATCCAGTGTCCCTTCTCTGGCCTGACCTTGCCCCCTCTGTGTCCTGACCAGCTGGCCCTGGACATCGATAGGGACGCAGAAGACCAGAACCGGTACCTGGACAGCATGGTAAGGGTCTGCAGTGTGCGCGGGCATCGCGGTCAGCTCTGCCCCACACTGCCTGCTATGCAGGCTCCCAGCGTTGCCTGCAGCACCTGCATGTTGGCCGTGGAGGTGCTGTCCCTGTGTGACTGTGCTGGGATTCCTCCCTCAGGACTCGGATTTCACAAGCATGACAGGCCTGCTCACAGGGAGCGTGAAGCGCTTTTCCACAATGGCGAGGTCTGGGCGAGACAACCGGAAGCTTCTATGTGGTATGGCCGCGGGCCTGATCGTGGCCTTCTTCATCCTCTCGTATCTCCTGTCAAGGGCAAGGACATGAGCCACTAGGAACTGGCTTTTGTGGGTGTCTGGGGCAACCAGGGTCTTCCCCTGCCTGGTGTCCTAGGCTCCAGAGGACCTATGTACAAAATATTCCTTTGAAACGATGATTGTAGCTTGGAAATCTTCTTGTGTGACTGGGAGTTGGTGACTTCCTCTGACCCAGTGAGCTCCTGTTGGCTGGTCCCATGTGTGTAAGGGTCTCTTTCCATTGGGGAAACCAAGGCCCAGCCCTCTGTACTACTGCAGGTGCTAGAGGCTCTCACAGAGCCAGGTCTGAGCAGATCCGCTTGGAATCCTGCTCATGGCTACCTGTGGCTAGCAGTCTTCCCCTGTTCCTTGGGGCTTTGACATCTCAAGGTTCTGCCCTATCCTTGTCTCTGGCTAAGGCCATATCTGATATCTGAGATGCTTGGAGCTGACACAGGAAGGCGGTGTGCTGTGAACTTTGAGCACCGTTTCTACTCAGAGATGGCAGGTACTCTTGGCTAGGGGCTGCTGAGCATGGGCAGATCAGTGTCGAGGGTTCCGCCATGAGGCCTTGCCTGTCCTTTGGGCCCTTGGGAAAGGGCAAGGGGTTGTGGATGAAGGTGTGGACTGCAACCTTGGCTGGAGGCCCTGGGCCCTCTGAGATCCAGTCCTTCTGGATCTCACAGTCTGTATCCAGGAGCAGAAACTCCCATTTTCTCAGAATTCAAGAGGTATCTAACACCAAAGATGTATTTCTGGGACACCAGACCTTTAGAAGCAGTTCCATCTGTCATTTCAGAGTCAGACAGAGTGTGTGTTGAAGGGGCACCTTCTACGGGTCAGGACAGGAGGCTTCCCTACAAGGACTCTAGAACCCATAGGTCATTTCTGGAGTGTCAGCAGGCAGCTTCCCCTCCACAGAGGCCCTTTGACAGTGAGTACCGCCTTACTAAGGGGACTCTTAGTTAATCTCCGCATCCCCAGCCTCCGCAGACTGCCCTCCATGCCCTCACTGCCTACGTGGCCAGCCCCATGTTCACACAAACCGAACCACAGGCCCAGCTGGCCCAGCGGCTCCTCACCCCATAGTGAGGTGTTGGCACCCTCACTTGTGCACAAATGCATGTAACAAACGATTCGTTGGCTCCGGGTCCTTCCCCATCTTCTGCCATCCCAGTTATTCCCCCTTACCCCTCAGGACCGTTGCTCCCTGTCCACCTCCTTTTCCAGGTCACACGTATTGACCACATGTCAGCTCTCTCGGCCCCGCCTTGCTCTGGTCTCCAGCCCTGGGCACCTCCCCTATGGCATTGAGGCTCGTTCTCCCTTCTCCTGCCTCGTCTTCCTTTCTGTTGTCCATCCAGCAGGCCTGGCCTTTCCTTGCACAGTCATTCCATTCTACCTGCTGGCCCCCTCAGCCCTCCCGGAGGAGAGGATCCCACTTTCCTACTTTCCTACTTCTGAGGGTTCTTTCTGACTGCCTCTGCTCTTCCACATGCTAGTTTCTCATCCAGTGAGGTCGATTTACCTGCCTCCGTGTCTCTGGGACTTTGCTGTTTCTGCTTACTCCTTACTTCCTTCGCAGGCTCCCATTGTCCTGCCTCACTCCCCAGTCCCTGCGCTCTCTGGTTTTGACTTAGCCCTCTGCTCATCTCACATTACGCTTTGTCACAGGGGTGTGTTCACAGGTCACCAGGCTTAATAGGGACTGCCAAGGGCACTGCAGACACACCCTCACCCTGCATCCCCTGCTCTTCCTGGGCCTGTGGTGCTGACCTCACTTTCCGAGAACATGCTCCATCGTGGGAGCCACAGCACACTAAGCAAGCTGCGCCTGCCTGTCCTGCCGATGCAGACTAGTTTAGATTTTTTGTTTTGGGTGGTCTTGCTGAGTGCTTTCTGCTGTCTCTCTCAGACCTCCAGCTGCAGCGTTCTCTCCTGAAGTCTCCATCTCTGCGTCCCCATCTCCACTTCTAGCTATTTTGGGGGCTGGGTTTTAGTTACTTTCTGGTTTATCTTGTGGTTTCTCATTCTCATTGCATTGGGGTGGATTCTGTGAGGGGGCCCAGCCTGGCCATTTTGCCAACCTGTCAGAGCCTTCACCCTGTTTCTGCCCAGCCTTGTGTACCCAGCACCTACATAGGCAGGGTTTGCTGACATTGGTCCCTGAGACTAGTAACAGAAAGGACCTGGGGACCCAGTCTGTGCCAAGTGAGGACACACTTCCAGGCTCTATCCAACAATTCAAGGACAAGGCATTTAACAATAAAAATTTGGAAGAAACCGTTTTTGGTGTCCTCATTTCCTTGGGTGCTTCATCTGGAGCTGACCAGGTCCACAGACAGGCCATGGACACTGCTGGTCTAGACCCCGCTTCTGCCACGTCTCTGCACCCGCCCTCACTTGGCCCCCCACCCTAGGCAGATGGTCACAGGCTTACCACTTTCTCTGCCAAGTTTCTATAACTCAGATGGGGCTGATGATAGCATTACTCCCAAGGGTTAAATGAATAAATGTGAGGTGCTCAGAACACATAGCCTGACGTGGTCCCAGCTGGGCCAGGGTCAGCAGACATATGCTCTGTGGCTATGGCTGGCTGGTTCACAGAGACAGCAAGCAGGATCACCCACCTTGAGGTCTTCAGCGACCTCCCCAAGGTTGAGGTGAAATCCAGACTCCCATTCCTAAAGGCCTGGCCTTGGACTCCAAGTGGCCTCTGGAAATGCCTGTTTTTGGCTTCACTCGGACACCCCCTTCCTGGCTCTTGTGTTTCCTAGATTGCCTTTGCTGCATAACAGATCACCTTCAAACTTAGTCACTTATAATAATTTTTGTCTTAGGATTACTGTGGTTGGAATTTGAGACCCATATGGTGGGGACAGCTCTCTGCCTAGAATATTGAGGCCTCAGCTGAGAGACCTGAGGCCAGGGCTGCTGTCACCTGAAGGCTTGCTCACATCCCTGCCGGTTGATGCTGGTGTGAGCTCAGGGTCCAGCTGTGCTGGCTGTCTGGACGTTGATGTGGCCACACCACATGTTGGGCGAGCACCATAGTGGTGTCTGGTGCTGAAGTGAGCAAAGGGAGGGGGTTATACAGGCACAAGCTATTTCCTTTTTATGTCCTGGCCTGGCCTGGCCTCAGAAGTCACATGGTACCCACCTTATTCAGGATGGTCACAGTCCCTAGTCCAGATTGAAGGGGAGGGACACAGATCTCATGGGCCTGCATGACACAGGTCAGTCATGCAAGGAGAAGACCACACAGGAGGGGACGGATGCTGGTGTGACTGTCCTTGGAGTGCACAACAAAATGTGAAGTGCAGGCAGAATTAGGAGGGTGGGCACGGCGGGCCGTCCAAGGATCCCAAGCCCTCCTCTCTCTCAGACCCCCAGCACTGGAAGCCAGGATAGGACCCAACAGCCTATACTGGGGGTGCCTTTTTGAAAAAGCTTGATCCTACCATCAAGACAAACCCATTAGTAATGGGATCTGTGGTTTATTAAATATCTGGGCACAGCAGGAAACATGATTAGCAAATGGGAAAGCAGAGTAGAAAAAAATAACTGATCACAACTGTCCAAACAAGTGTGCTCTGCCCTGTAGGGCCAGGCCTGCCACAGCGCAGCTTGGGGAGGAGGTGTCCCTAGCCCATGGCCCAGATGTGGGAACGTGATGTGCAGAGGCTGTGAGTGATGGGTTGCGGTGAGGGCCAAGGCTATTCCACATCCACCACGAGGGGCGTCATGTAGTCGGAATGTTTGATGCCAAAGGTGACGATGGGGGCGCAGGGCTTGGTCACTGTCACCTGGGGAGGAGAGGCTGTGAGAGGATCTGGTGCCCCTGCCCCTGGCTGACAGGTCCTGCCCTCCCTGGGGCCAGAGCTGCTGACAGTGGCTTCACTGTCCCTCCTGAGCCCTGGGCCAAGGTGACCAGCACCAAGGCCATGCTAGCAGGTTGGGTGAGTGCTCTGCACACTAACTGTCACTGGTGTCTTGGGGAGGCAGGACCTGCCAGCTGGGGAAATGGTGTGCCAGGAGAACCTAGCATTCTAGGGATGCAGGGCCATCGTGCCCCCGACGGGCTCACAGGCCTTTCCCCACCACGTCCACTCTGGGCTTGTTCCCTGACTACTCCTCTGACCTGTGCCTCCCTCCCCCACCCCAACCAGGCTGTGCTTCTGCTGACCCCACACCCCCGGGATGTATCCCCCAACAACTCAACCACTCTGGCCTGTGTTCCCGGTCACCCAGGCTTTGCCCTCTCACCCCCTCTGGGTGGTACCCCTACTCCCCCGCTGGGTTGCAACCACCCCCACGCCCTCTGGGCCATGTCACCCTCCTCCCAGCTCCCCCCTCACTGTAGCTCCCACCCCCCCCACCCCTCTGGGTCACGTCACCCTCCTCCCAGCTCCCCCCTCACTGTAGCTCCCACCCCCCACCCCTCTGGGCCACGTCACCCTCCTCCCAGCTCCCCCCTCACTGTAGCTCCCACCCCCCCCACCCCTCTGGGCCACGTCACCCTCCTCCCAGCTCCCCCCTCACTGTAGCTCCCACCCCCCCCCCCC